GGACGAAAACAGTACAAGAATGACTTTCTCCTTAGTAGGCAAAATCTTTGAGTATTTTACATCTCAGTCTCAGTCACATTTGAGTTTGGAATTATTTTCTTTTTTATCTATAGGATATATCCAAATATATATCCAAAAGGATAAATTTTTATTTATATATTTTTTAATGATAAATTATATACAAATTATTTTACAATAACTGATAAATACAAACATAATTTTTTTTACCTAAAAAGAGAACCTACAATTATTTTTATATATTGTAATATGTTATAATGGTTGTGATTAATTTTAATTTAAAATTTTATATGTTTTAATTAAAACTTGCTATTATAGGACATACCACAAATCTAACAAAACATATCGTAATATTTTTAAATAAATTAAAGAAAGATTTTATCAAAATGTATTTAGACACTTCCTATATCTCTCATATACTGTTAATTCCCTAAAAAATAACCAAATAAAAGATCAGTGACTTCATCTGTAATTATAGTTTTATTTCCAAGTATATGGCTCTCAGGGTAAAATGTAGGTTCCAAAAAAATCTTTATAGTAATATTAAAAATTTATAAAAGAAACAGCATAACTAAAATTATAAAATTGGTTTCATATTTTTGAAGCAACGAGGAAAAAAATTATATCTAGGAATGGAAATAATGGATTAAAAATGGTGTATTCACACGTACTGTCGCACATGAAACAACGTTCTACTGACTAGAATTATTTAAAAGATAACTACAATTATGAAATAATGCAACTTCTTAGACATATTAGGAGATGGCGCAGCGAAATGTACCACTATAGACTATACGTTAGCACCATGGGCGTCGTTACACAATTCTATAGGGGGGGGATAAAAGAGAATTTTCTTATGATGGATTTAATTTTTCTGTGACTTCATGGCTTACTTACAGCTTTTCCAGAAATAACAGAAAATCGCAATTTATTTTTTATTTTTAAATGAAAACCCTTTTTTTATTGAAAATTTGAGTTTCTGGGACATTTTTGGGGCGTTTATTGAAAATTTTCTGTAACATATTTTCCAATATGACAGAAAATTTTCAACACATTATTCTTTTCCATAAATGTTCCCGAAATTCAAATTTTCAATAAAAAAGGGGGTTTCTATTTAAAAATAAATTGAGAATTTCTGTTATTTCCGAAAAACGAGAAGTAAGCCATGATGTCACACACCAATTGAATCCAGTATATGACAGTATTTGTTCCAAGCTTTTAAACAAAAAAGTTTTCATTACAATATCTCAATTAACAACTAAGATAAAAGCGGATGAAATTATTAAACGATTTGCTAATAATAAAAATGCTTAGATACGCCACTGGTATACGGTATAAGATTTTATAAAGATCATACATTCCTATATTTTTTTTCATAAACGAATTAATAGTGACATGTTTAGAAAAAATATTATTCAATATGGCGGCCAGTTTGACAGCTGACAGAAAATGTTCAATACACGATTATTATACAAAAATGTTTAAATTTACAATAAAAGAGGGTTTCCATTTAACAATAAAAAAAAATCGATTTTCTTTATTTCCGGAAAAACCGGAAGTAAGCCAGGACGTCACAGAATAATTGAATCCATCATAAGAAAGTGTTTGTTCCAGTCTGTCAAACAGAACAAAATTATTCAGATATCTCACTGAATAGAGAAGATAAGGGGAGTGGAACTTTAGTAGTAACCCTAACAATGTCACTGACCCATTTGACAGAACTGATGCTTAAGTTGTCATAACAAGTCTCTAATAAATAAAATAACCAAACAAAAAAAAAAAACTAAAATTAAAAAAAAAAACAAGAAACTTAAAGCACATTTTTAAAAAAACAAACAGAAGGTGTGATATAAAAGAAAAATATGAACATAATAATATAAAAAATAAAAATTTATAAAAAACAAAAACATAAAAAAAACTAACTCAAATATGTCAATGAACACAAAAAACACTAGGAAAATGCAAATTTCAAATTTCTTTTTTCTCTACTAAAAATATCGATAACGAAAACAAAATTTATTTTTCAGTCAGCCTATTTTCATTCATTATTCACTCCGTGCGTGACAGCAACGCCAACTATTTTATGAACTAACGGACGATATTTGCGTATACTGACAATACAATTTTTAATAGAGTTCATAATTAAGAAATATATATGTTAATTTTAATTTTAAAACAAGTGAAAAAATTATTATTACTATATATTTTTATTACTTCAGCTAAAAAAAGTCAATAAAAATCAATAATAAAACATAGGTAGGTACTTACGAGAAAATGTATGAGATCTTGCCTAAGCCTAATAAGTTGTCATTGAAGAATAGGTTAAATTATGTCAAAATCAAAATATTACCATTATATTATAATAATGTAGAATTAAAATAATTGGTATATTTGCGATTGTAATTTATATTTTCTTCATTTTTAGTTTGAAAGAACCCATAGAAATTAATGAATAAAACTGGTTTCCTATCAATAAGTCACAAGATTGCATGTCAACCATATACAATAATTAAAGGCAGAAATCTAATCATTTGCTAAACATTTAAGATTTAAGGGATGTTAAAGAATATCATAAAAAAATAATTTATTGCTTAATTATTACAAAAATAATGGTTTTTTTTTTGTTCTTATTATACAGCTGTCCATTTATTTATTTTATTTAATTTCGATTTTGCTACTGAAAACTCATATAATTTACAGTCTTTTTGCTAGTATAATTTGTAACATAGCAACTCCGGTTGCTCATTTTATTGTTCTTACCTATTTTTTTTTAGTAAAAAGTCAAATGTATACGTGTATTTGATACGCAAAAATTACAAAATATCGCCCTAAAATACTCGAGTTATCCGCAGCTTGCGCTAGTATCGCTTTTGCTTCCCCTACCATGACTTCGCACTAATCGAATAGACTGCAGCCATGTTTTAACATGCTTTAGTGTTTCAAACGTTCTTTCGTTGGTGGAAGAGCAAGCCATAAATATTTTTTAAACCTCTTTGTATGTCTGGATAATATTCACAATATTTGGGCGCTATATCATTAATGGAGAGCTCATTGTGTGCAGAAAGCTCTTTCGTATTCCAGTTTGGTATTCAGCTTTAAAATTGTAGATTCCAAATTTTTCCACCACTTTTATTTTCTTATCGGTGGTGAAAAAAGTATTTTTTTATGTTTTTGGGATGTAACAGGCTTAAGGAAAAACTAACAAAGTCTTCGGAAAAGCCGAACCCACATATGCAATAAATATATTCAACCCATAATATTCTTCAAATATATTAGCCTGAATATTATTTTTATGAGATTGTTGTTCGTAATGCATATCTTACGCGTTGTTGATTAAGTCGTAAAAGCCAGGGGGGGCAACTGCCCCTCCTTGCCCCCCCCCTCCCCAAACGACGCCCATGGTTAGCACTTGTGGAAGATTTATCTGTCCGAATCAGTGATTATTGTTTTATTGTGCCATTTTGCTTTCTATTTGAAAGTTTATGTATTAATAATTATAGGTGAGAAACCTATATAATTTGTCACTAGTGTTATTTTGTAAATTAAATAAAGTAAATTTCACTGAAAGAATGAAACGTCCTGTCGCTAACGAGTATTTTCTTTATCAGTGTACAAATGAATGAACACAAAAGACACCTGGAGAAGCAACGAAATGTATGCCAACATTGCATACCAGCCTGTAGATGTCTTCCTGGAGTCAATTCGCCTTCGTGCCGGGATCACATGTTTTCCATAGGTGAGTAAACATTTTTATTATACATAACATAATTTTACCTCATAGAATTTTCACATACAAATGAACATGATTTAATTTTCCTGTTTCTTTATATTTTAGGAATTCATTAGGAAAGGATTTCAGAGGTAAAAGGAAGGAAATAAAAAAAAACTCATCCTCATTTTTCGATCTTTTTCATACTGCCTTTTGTTTCATCAACAAACTCCAATTTTAAGATTCCAATCTAGATGGAAGAAAATGAACCTGTCCAATCAAAATTTTGACAGTTTGGTTATAATATTAAAATTTAGTTATTGGATTTATACAGGGAGTTTATTTGAACGGTTTATTGTACACTTTTAATGATATTTCTTATTAATTCAAAAGTTATTTTAAAATTCATGTAAATATTTTATAAATTTACTTTTTAAAATTCATAATTTGCGTGTAGTAGTACTGTCTCACTAAATCTGGTTATTTTCGAATTTGTCAGAATTAGCATTATGCGAGGTGCAGTCTAAAAGTCGTGATGAAAACTTATTAGTTTTTAATTTTATAAATGTTTAATAATTATCTTGATTTCTTGGAATTTCGTAATCTATTATAATATTTATATATAATATTTTTTTTTGAGAATTAAATATTGGTTCTTTATATGGATATGTCGTCGGTTATGACTGAGTAGTCTTTAGCCTGTTTTTCAAGTACTTTCAAGTAAAAAAAGTACTGATGGGCCCCTGGACGAGAAGCGAGTGTCACTGTCAAGATCCTTATTATATTTATTTCTTCTATTTTTCTATTTCTTTAGTTTGACTAATTGTGATTGACTGAGTCACACATATGTTAATGTCAAAAAAAAAACTTACAACAGTTTGGAGGCTACTTCTGAAATTGGATTTGTCAGTATAAGTTTATAGCTAATGCCAACATTGGGTAAGCCTCTGTATACATATTGTATTTACAAAGGATGGAATAGCAGCACAGCATAGATTAGGGGAGTGTAAATGGATGGAATACTCAATGGTAAAATTCTGAGGCAATGTGCTGCCATCTATCAAATTGGAGTGGTACTAAATTATATATGGTCGCTAAGAGCGGGCTTTTTGAAATTTAACTTTTTGTGAGCTGGCCGAACAACAACTGGGGCATCGAATCATTGAAAGTGCAAATCGATTTCGTCAAAAGCCAATGATATACCAAAAAATCGGTTTTCCTTTTCATGTATTTAATAAATCCTTTTATTGGGATGTTTTAAGTAGTGTATGTAATTAAATTTTAGTTGTTTGACGTTTAAAAGTTAGATTAGCTCAATGCTTCATTATTTTGTCGAATTTCCGAAATCAAAACCACTGAACTATACATTAAACTGGAAGAACAAAGCCGATCAACAAAATCAAGCCGCATAGCGAGGTGATTTGACACTTTGGCGCCCACATGTGCGTATCGAAATGCACTAAAGAGGATCATCAAAATTAAAATCAACACTTATTACTTTCAACTATGACACCTTTTAATTTTTGAAAATAACTTAAAAATAAATAAATAAAAAAAAACTATAATTGATGAATATCTGAATTAAAACTTATAATTATTCTTAGTTAGAGGAAACATATTAATGTTAGATGTATATAAACTAATATTATTTATTACTTATATAAAGTATTCCAGGAACCTGCTACATCGGTCACAGAAACTCCACTACACTTTTCTCTCTGGTTTTAGTCCATATACTCGTATAAGTAAAAATCTAATGACTTTCCTATCTAGTTATTACTGGCTTTTTCTGGTTATTTTGTACAACAGTTTATTCTTCTTGTTTAATTGGAATTATGCAAACCGTGCAAGTTTCCGTCCGACTGGGAGACATTTGTAAGGCATCTTAAAGACGTTTTTGAGCTCTCATATTAATACGTCTGAATTATGGCTTTTACCAGACGTCTTAGTAACGTCCTAGGACATTGCGACAAAACCAAGACAAAAATATACGTCTTTCAGACGTCGTGTGCTGTCTTGTAAGGTTTTTCTAATTCTCTACTCGACGTTTTAAATAATTTTAAATTTTCCATAATGATTTTGGTTACAAGACCAATTGATCCAAAACTAACTGAACTTAATGATAAGGATCAATTTTAAATTTACTCGGTATAAAAATGATTGACAAGTGGCTCGTTATATTTATTTTTATATTTATATAATACATTATATACAATAAGCAAATACAGAAATATCTATAGGTATAATAAAGAAATGCTGTGAAGATATTCGAAATTTCTAGCAAAATAATGTTTACTAATTAAAAACAATAAAAATATAACAATCCAAAAAATGTTTACAAAAAGAAAAAATATCAAAACGATTTCAAAATGTATATACTAAATTGTAAAAATAAAACCAGTACTCAGAATTATTTTTACTAACAACCTCTAGGTATAAGTATATAAAAAACTTTTATTTATTTACTTAAATGCCGATTAGAACTGAATTAATATGACAATTTAATAAAATGTACGTTTTTAATAAAATTATGACAATGAAATACAAATGCAAATAAACAATAAAACTATTATTAAAATAAGGATGTTTCTTTTTTGTATAAAAAAACGATAATCAAAATTATATTTTTAATATTTTTTTAGTACTTATACTGTTTTTAAAATGCATCTACGTAATGTAATTAAAAAAAAAGTTTTACATTTAAAAAGAATCTTTACTTTATCCAGTAGTACAGTAAATAACCCAACAAACATTTTTTTATGACAAGTACGCGGCCTTTAAACGTATGTACGTTATTTTATGTATTGGCCTTTCATTGGGAGGCTGGCATTGGTAAGCAGTGAAAGGTCTGCATTTTGCCAGCAGTTTCCATGTTAATTACAAAATTCAAAAGAGCCATAATAATTTTACCGTTGAATGTATAAAACAGTTAAAAAGCCATCAACGGCCCATCGATTCAACTTAAAGGGCAGTTAATTACGAATTTCAATAATGCCACGATTTTACTGTTACAATTTAGTTTGCCATCATATTCTTTAAACTTCCAACACCTTGCTGCAACATTAATGTTTGTTGGGAATTTAATAATTATACCTTTCCTATTTCCAAGTTGGATTCTTAACATTTTTATTTTGGATAATTTTTTTATATATAATCTAACAATAAACAAATTCAAAAAATTGTTCCATTTAAACTATCATCTTAAAATAAAGCCTAATATTCAACAGCTACTTTTTCAGCATTCCTTTCTTTCCTCGATTCAATCCTTTCAGATCTGGCTTGCGATATTTCAAAATCGGCCGAATCTTGCTCAGTTTCAGCCACCAGTTTTCTTAATCTAGCAACCCTAGCTTCCCTAGCGGCTTGTTTTTCCTGCATAGCCGCCATTTCCTCTTCCAAATCGTTGAGTCTGTGTTTCGTCATTTTAGCTCTACGCTCCGCTGCTCCTGTCTCAGTCTCGTAAGATTCCGTAATGTCTGATCTTCTAGCTCGGATAGACCTGCTGACGTTATTCTCCAGTGGCGTCCATTTGGTAAGGTTATCATCGTCGGGTTTGTATGTTACTTTCAAAGCGCTACGTCTTTGGGAAACGTCTTTCTCTACTAATTGTCTGGGGAGAGATTCGTTTATACCCACTGAGTCTAGGATTTTGTCTGATCTGTCTAGCATGCGGAAAGTTTTGAGGTTATTGGTGGTTGTTTCGAGATCAGCATCATCGATAATCGAGACCTTTTTGTTCGCTCTTAATCGTCTAATGGATGTCGCTGTCTAAAAGAAAAAGGAATGATAAATAATGTTGTCGATAATACATTAAATTGTTGTTAAAATGAATCTCCTAAAGAAAATAGTTATTGATGCACGCGACCTTTAATTTGCAAAATAGATAAAGAATAGAAAAATTGAGTGTATATAACTTATCAACCAGACCAAAGAGGACCAAAAAGTAAAAGGTTTAAAATACTTGAAGTAAGTCAACTGCTGAGCAGAAAATATAAAAGGCTACTCTTACTATTCACTCAATCATGCAAGGGATCAAGGAAGTACTCTATTTGAGAGTGTAAATAGAAGCCTACAAAAAACCTCAACTATTAGCTCAATGTAAACGATGCCAAGAACATAGACATAGTTAAAACATCTGCAAAAGGAACCTAGATATGTGTCAGATGCCCTATAAAAGATTGTAAGAGTACAGCACCTAAGTGCCTACATTGTGGAGGGGAACACACACGAATTCTAATAGAGGCAGAGCTTAAGATACATAACTACACATTAGAAAGATACAGTAAACCAAGAAAATATAAAGAAAAGAGAAAACTGTAAGAAAGGCAACAACGATTATTGGAGACTGGTATATATTTTGCCAAAGTGGCCAGTAATGAAATTCGAGCGACAGTAAAGATCTTATAAATCCAAAGCTGCAAAAAATAATGCATTAAATCGGTGAAAGAAGAATTCAATAAAACAATTTTAGAAAGGCTGGACACAATAGAACATAATAATAGTAAAAGGCGATAGAAGACAAAGTTAAAACACAAATGGAACTCTTACAACACCAGCAAGATTTATTACTGATCTCAGAGACACGCCAAATTAAAAGGATATCAGATCCATCTTTCCATTCATTTAATAAATTCCGCCAGAGGTGGAGCGTCTATTATTATAAACAGTAACATAACTTTTAAAAGAAGAAATATATACTCTCTATTGTATCTGCCTCTTATTCACACCCAGATATATTCTCAAAAAAGAAAACTACAACAACTTCTTATCAAGTCTGTGTGAAAAATTTATAATATATGATGATTTTGGACATGTATGTTGCTCAATACTTACTACTGACGAACTTGGAAAATAGTAAAAGAACTACTAAGAAGACACTTAGGAAAAAATGTGACAATAAAAATGTAGCACCCAGTAAAACATAAGAAATCCCAACGAAATTTTGGCAAATAATTTTGTTGTATGTACTGAAAGTAAATACTGATAAAAATTTGGTTCCGAGATTTTTTACAAACAACTGAAGCTGCTTTTATTCTATAGGATAATAGGCGTTTTTAAAATGATGCTAGTTTTACTCATTTTAAAAAATTGATTACTATGTCTTAATGAGAAAACGCGCTAATCCTAATCAATTAAGTCAATTTTGGGAATTGGCAATAGTTTGGAATGACCCTCAGATTAAAGGCAACAAAGCCGAAGATGTACTGGTGCTGTCTGAAGAATGACAGTCCGAGAAGAACGCCTTTTAAGAGTAAATGCCTTAAGATACCGATTTTCTACCTCTAGGTCAGTGACACAGGAATGGTTGGCTACTACAGGATAACAAATCTACGTTTAGTTTATCGTAGGATCAGGCCTTTTGGCATGGAGTCTCTTTTTGTCATTGACCCAAAGACATATGGGGGCGAGATTGCAGTAGTGTCAAGAAATTGTAAAATCAGGAATAGAACAGTATTGTGTACAGTGACAAGTCTCAATTTTGTTTATTGGCCCAAGATAGACGAAGAAGAGTTCGCCGAAGACGTGGTGAAAAACGAGAACGTGAGACAACGCTTACCCGATGAGTTATGGTATTGGGTGCATTTTCATATGGAAGCAGGTCTCCATTAGTATTGTTTGAAAGAAACATAAATGGCCAGGACTACATCCACAATGTTTCAAAACCAGTTGCTATACCGTATCTTCAGCAACTGGAAAAGCCAATTTTCTAACAAGATAATGCCAGACCTCATACAACAGCAGTCACTACCAGGTTCTTCGTAATTCTGTCTAGCTAGATCTCCAGATCTTTCACCAATTGAACATGTATGGGAAATGATAGGTAGAAGATTGGGTCAACTTCTGGCTTATAATAATGAATTGGAGTCGCCTAAGATATGATGTTCAAGTTGCTTGGAAATCAATTCTTCAAGAAGACGTTGATAACTTTATTCGAAGCATACGTCAGAGTGTTGAGGAATGTATTCACTTAAAAGGGACATTATTAAAATTATCAGGCAAAGAGGAAGGAAATTGTTTTAAAATTTTGATACATACGCCCTTTTATTTTCAAGAAATATATGATTGATGATATTATGATGTTTAATGGGTGTTGCATTTGTAATGTCACAGAGAAGAGGGACTTTTTGGTGTCCATTTAAGGATATTCGAGATGTTTAAACTGAACTCCCTGTATGTCGATAGGATTGAGCCCATAAGACAAGAAGGACCGTAATATAATAAATTCAGATAATATGACAGTGTTCCCGTTTGAGTAAGAGAAGTGAGGTGTCTTTTAACTCCAGAATATCGACACTTCTATTATTTTGTGGGTTTATTTTTTATGCAAACGCATCAAGATTCGATGAATTAAATAACCCTCAATTATTAGTAATTTAGAATCTGCCAAAATATCTACAAAGCTAAAAAAACGTTACGTAAAAAGTAGCTTCTTATAAATAACGCATTTAACTAAAAATATTTTAAACTACTTAAAAAATTTACAATTATTAAAGCTATAGTCTAGAGACGAAAGGAGTGCAGTAATTTAATTTGCAGAACGTAATACAGGTTCAAGAGGTAGACATTCTATTTATAACACATTTTCAATGCTTATTTGTAGTTAAAATAAAAATTTTAATTCACCTGATCGGCCTAATAAAAGTTTTCGTTTAGATTTTATCATGTTTCCATGGTTTTTACTATATTAAACCTTTTCTTTTGACAGATAAGACAATGATAACACTGGCCAACAAAATTACACTTTTTGACTGACTTATGTCACATGATGTTTACTAATTTTAAGTCGCTTATTCTAAATATATCCCCACTTTTTTTCTGACAGCTCTTGTTTACGAATTATAGCTTTCACTAAAAATTCACTGTATTATAGTGTTTATTTGCATTTATTTAATAATAATTATTATACATATTTAATATTATTTGGAAATACTATTAATTTATAATCCTCTCTAACGACTCCTCTGTATAGTTTCTTAGAACATACTTATAAAGGTAAAAGTACCTCTCTTTAATGACTGGTAAAACCCAATTTCGAAATTCTTAAGAAATGATCTTTTGTTATTTTAGGGGAAGGTTTAGTAAGACAATAGTGAAATTATCTTTCTTGTTTGAATTATTGTTTTATTTTGTAATTTGATATGGCATCGTCAAGAAGAGTATGTGTGAACAATTTTTGTTTCAATTGCGGAGAGTATGTATTTAAAGAATACCCTTTAAATGTGACAACGTTCGTAAATGAGGCTTGCAAAAATTACTTTGGGCACCCGCTGGAAAAGAAGAATAAGCCTTGGATTTCGCAAAAGGTATGCAAAACATGAATTCCTATATTTATAGACAAATAAGAAAAGACATAGCTTCAGGTACAAAACAAATGATTTGGAATGAACCCATGAACCACCATGACGATTGTTGTTTTGGTTTGGTGAACATAATTGGTATTAACCGAAAAAATCGAGCCAAATGGGAATATCCTTCCATACAATCGGCACATAGACGTGTCCTGGGCCCTAAGTCTACACCTAAACCTCAATCTGGTACTTTACAGGAAGAGCCAGAAAATTTTGAGACGAAAAACGACAGTAGTGATAGTGACTTTGACTGCGATCTGGGAACGCCAAAACCATTCAATCAAGATGATTTAATCTACTTATTTACGCCCGTATGCACCGTAGACGTTTAATCCAGATCAAGGGTTTAATCGCGTTTAGTACCATAGCTAAACATGGTATTAAACGCGATTAAACCCTTGATTTGGATTAAACGTGTACGGTGCATACGGGCGTTAGAGATCTGGGACTGTCAAAGTCAGCTTAAGAAATTTTGGCTTCAAGGCTAAAAAAGAAAATTGGTAACGAAAGAAACTAAAATTTCTTATTACCGCACAAGAGAACAGAATTTTCTCAAATATTTTGCTGTAGACAATTTCGAATTTTGTAAAGATGTACCTGGATTGATGGCTGCAATGGGATTACAAAATTATGTTTCTAGTGAGTGGCGTTTATTCATAGACTCGTCAAAACGGAGTCTAAAATGTGTTCTCTTACACAATGGGAATAAATTAGGGTCATTGCCTATTGCACATTCTACAAAAGTAAAAGAAGAATATACAACTATTGCTCTGGTTTTGGACAAAATTAAATATGTGGAAAATAACTGGATCATATGTGTTGATTTAAAAATGGTCAACTTTCTATTAGGCCAGCAAGGTGGTTACACAAAGTATCCTTGTTTTCTTTGCTTGTGGGATAGTAGAGCTAAAAATCAACATTGGGTTAAAAAGGATTGGCCTACTCGGAAAGATCTAGTTCTAGGACAACAAAACGTGATAAAACCACCTTTAGTGTCAAGAGATCGTATACTTTTGCCTCCGTTGCATATAAAATTGGGGCTTGTAAAACAGTTTGTCAAAGGTCTTAACAAAACTGGATATTGTTTTCTATTTCTATCAAAAAAATTCCCGAAACTGAGTGTAGAAAAGATAGAAGCAGGCATTTTCGATTGGCTACAGATAGGATCATTAATAAAAGATACAAAATTTACGGACACTATGACATAAATTGAGAAAAACGCATGGAATGAGTTTGTTTGGCTTGTTCAAAATTTTTGAGAAATAAGAAAAGTTCTAACTATTCTCAACACGTTGAACAACTAATGAGTCACTTTCAAACCCTTGGAAGTAACATAAGCATCAAGTTGCACTTTCTTAACAACCACCTAGATTATTTTCCCGCTAATCTTGGGGATCTAAGTGAAGAACAGGGCGAGCGATTCCACCAGGACCTTCGTACGATGGAGGAACGGTATCAAGGCTACTGGAACGCACACATGATGGCTGACTATTGTTGGAGCATTCAGAACAGTTCTATGGGTTCAACCTCTGCAGTGAAGTTTTATAAAAGAAAGTTTTTTTCACCTTAAGAACTAAGTAAAATATGACTAACTTTAAACAAATTGTGTTTTACTATGAAACGGCCATGTGTCATATTTTCTAAACTAGAGCTAATACAGAACTTTAGATTACAGATTTGAAGTCTTCATTAAAAATTAAGCTAGTGTCATGTAATATAACTCAAACATCAGAAATGCTGCTGTGCAGTGTAATCATACCAGTAATTATAGTGAAGACAGTGACTTTTAAAAATAGTTCTTGAACTTTTAATTTTTTTAATCTTTGATTTTGGAATGTACTGAAGTGTTACTTTTAATGCCAAGAGATTAAAAAAAGTTTAATCCCATTAACAACATATAATACTCCTTGTTATTTAATGATTAAATTTTAATAGTTCAATGTTAAAGTGCAACCATTTTGTCAGAAGCATAAGGTTTATTTTTATTTTTTGTAAGCAATATAATTTTTTCATTAAACTTTAATCTAGTGTATACCATTTTATATGCCGTGACCTTATTTATATTATAGAAACTTATTTTGCAAAGTACGCCTATGGAATGTGACGTTATATCCCCACTTTTACTGCACTCCTCTTTATTCAAACTTATAGTAAGCGATTAAGAGATGAAAGTTTGCTATTTTTAATTTATATTGGTTTTACCTTCAAGATAAATAGCATAGTTTACTATTTTCTTGAAGATAATGTTAAAACTATTATTTTCGGTTTATAAAAAAAATTGTTAGTAAAATAATCTACAATTAGTATATAAAAAATCAGTGTTCCATTTAAAAATAGTGATACAATTAAATCTAAGAACAAAAATGTATGTACTGTAATGAATTGGTATATATAATATAATGATTGGTTATAATGCAATAAATAAATAAATAAACAAAAAATACTAACCTTTGTTTTCTCACACAACGAAAAATATGTTTTAATAAAGTGCATGTAAACATCAAAGTGAAGGGAATAAAAAGAAGCATAATTTAAACATTTCTAGACAACGATTTAATGTTCTAATTTATAATATCGTTGATACTGTGATGACAATAATCAAAATTAAAAAATGCAAACAATATAAAATTTGATAAAAAAGTTGTCTTTTAAACTATTTCAAACAATATAACATAAAATGAGAGAATATTAATAAAATTATATAGGGTGATTCATACTTAAATCTGTAATAACATTATTTTAATTTACAAAAAATATTAATCCTTACTGAACTGAAATTTATAACACCCTGTATAACAAATTATTTATTCTATTAAAATAAACACTTTTGCTTTTATAACAATATTATCACATCATTCGTTATTGTTTTAAAAACAATTAGGTATTTAAATTCAAAACGATTAAAATAATAAAAAAATTAAAACAACAAAATGAAAAACGATTTAAATTATAACAAAAAAATGTAGTTAAATTGCAATATGCTGCAAATATTGACGGATAAGCTTTTTTCAGTTGGTATTGCTATATTTAAAAAATGTTTAATTATTAAATGAGTTAACTATTGAATGAAATTGAGATTGGAACCAGGTAATCAATAACCACTTTTTATGTCTACACCCTGTATTCAGCGAACGTTAATGGTTGCACATCTCCATCAAAATTGGCAGTCCATTTAAACTCTTTAATAACAAATATAAAGTCATGCACAAAATCAACCGATACGTGGGCAACATTGAAACGGTGATCATGAAAACTATTTTTAAATGTAACACTAACAGAAAATTGAGTAAATTAATCGTTTCTGAAAATGAAAATAATTGTTCTTGATATATTCATTCTTTGTTTATTATATACTTCGGTTTGAAAGAAAAAAGAAAACCATAAAACCAGTTTGTGTGTAAAAATATTTAAAACCTTTAAATCATTTTGAAATTGATCAAATTATGCATGTCTGTTGCACATTATTTGAAAATGTTGAATTTTTTTTTTATTAATTTTTTAACTCAATTTTTATTTAATATTTATTTTCATTTTCTGAAAAATTGATAACCCTATGTCAACTATACATTATTTTTTTATGGTTATTGCTATATCAGATTTTTTAATTAACAAAATTTTAAAATAATTATTTAAAATATCGGAGCTATTTAAAACTTCAAAAAAGATAAAATACTTTTAAATGAAGAATTTTTTTATTGTATTTAATTTACGTAATCTACGCCACTGAGGAATAAAGCGGAATGAGCAGAGATCTATTAACTGTTGGTTTTCGTTTTTTTTTGTTTTTATTTTTAATTATAGTAAAAACGTCCTTGTAAATCTAAAGTAGAAGATAAAGTAAATTATTTTCAATAGAGTTAATAAATAGAGAGTCTTGCCGTTTTTTTTTTGTTCTCGCACATTTACTGTGTACCATGTGTTTCAAAAAAGTATTATACACAATAAAAGTTTTATCTTATGTTTCACAAACTAAATTATATTAGATAAAATTTCCAATACACACTTTAGTTTTAGTTGTGGATTATTTTTTATTGAAGTAAATCCAAATCACTAAAAAATAAGTGCAATGATTTAAACTCAAACACGTATTTTAATTCTTATTAATATCTTACTCTCTATTGAAATTTAAAAGTATTTTATTCTCTTATTTTTATTTTTTTGTACCATCTATATTTTACAAAGTTTAATGTTTGATTATGAATTCCCAAGTGATGCAGAACATTTTATTAGAAATATTTTTTTAAACAAAACTTTTTCTCGTATATAATTTTTTCTGGGACACACTGTATAATAGATTGCGACGAGCTCTTCGAGCACGTCGTTAACAACAATATCTGCACGTCGCATTCATTTACACAGTGTGTTCCAAATTATGTACACATCGAAATAACTTAAAAATAAGTGCAATGATTTAAACTTAAGTACATATTTTATTTCATATCAACATTTTAAATAATATCTTGCTCTATATTTTACAAAGTTTAATGTGTGATTATGGATTCCCAAGTAATGCAGAATATTTTATTAGGAATAATTTTTTTTAAACATAAATGCATAATGCTTTTTGGGACGCACTGTATAATAGATTGCGACGTGCTCTTCGATAACAAAGTGTTGAATTTGACTTTTCTTTAGCTGGTTTGTTCTTATATTTTTCTTTTTCTTTTATTTTTCTTCTTTAACTAGGTTTAAATGGACTTGACTATGAACCTATTTGGCATTCCAAACAAAATGGCTACCAGTGGGTTTTGACAGGTTATGATATGGCAACATTATGGCAACCCTGGAAGCCTAGGGATTTGACAGGGTCAACGTAATAAATAGTATTAAATAGTTATATAGATTGATGATCCATGTTTTTCAAAATAAACATAAGTTTATGACTTGAAGTAAAAATGTATGTAATTATTTTTTTTACTATATTCAAAGGCTGATAATTGGTTTTAAAACACATTTTTGCTAGATTGGTTCTGATTAATGAGCACTTAGGAGGCAATATGGCCGCTCGCAAAAGGAACCGCTTTTAGCAATCTATACAACAATATATGTATCATTGATCCTGTCAATAACAGCAGGCTATAGGGTTGCCATATCTAAACGTCAGTTCCCACTTGTCAGAATTTTGACAGGTCGTTGGAATGCCTAATTGAAAAAGCTGCTGCTTTTTTTTCGTCTTATTATTATTATTATTATTATTATTATTATTATTATTATTAATATTATGCCTTTGCAAAACGGATTTTACAGTTAGATCCTTTCTGCTTTAGTTAAATTTTAAGTTGACATAATATTGGAGATTTTTTAAAGCTACTAACTAAACTGTTTGTCTTTTCATCTGCCTTTTCATAATATCATTATTAAGTTGTTGATCAATAGGAAAAATATGAAAGTAATCAAAAGGCGCCCCTCTAATTTAATAAGATAAAGCACCCCTAAATGTTAATTAAACTACTCATATTTCCAAAAATACAACTAACTGTTTAACATAATAACCAATTTTGAAAATTATTTGATTTTATTTTATGCCACTATAAATTTATGTTATGTTAATCTTTATCTGTTCATTGAAATTCAATACATTTTTCTTTTTTAACTGCTGATGGATTAATTTAAAAATTTTTAAATAGATTAAATAGTAGAATACTTGTTTTGAAAATGTAGCCATAATAATTAGGATCACAAAAACTAGTTTTCTTTCCGTAGATTAAACAAAACAAAGTTTACAGCCTCATATTTTTAGGCTTTATGGCTTTTTATTTTAAGTTAAATACAGAGACTGTGATCGTTTTACTCAAATGCCATCCATACCAACAGAAAAATTGTGTCTAAAACTACAAGATGATGATATTACTTCATTTTAAACCCAAATTGACTCCTATATTTTTCATTTGTTTAAATAACTCCACCGAACAATATAAAATTTTGATTAGTTTTCTATTTTTTTTTCTTTGTGGAATGTATCTTTAACAAATAATTATAAATGTATTAAAATCTAATGTATAGCTGACATAAAAGTTGAAAATTCACGATTTTAGATACACAGAGTTACGCAAAAAATCTCCGCACCTCATCGCTGATATTGTTATCCATGTCTTCCAGTAGAGCTCCAGCTCTTGAGATCCGGGCACCCCTCGAATCGAAGACGTGATCTTGTCTGATGTGCTTTTCTGCTCTCCTGCGAGAAAATTCTAGATCTTCGTCAGCAAATATCCTTGCGTGACGTTCAGCGATGCTTTCTAAAAAAAAATAAATTTCAGTTTTATATTTTTTATTGATGCTATTTGTAGAAACACAAATAAATGCTGCTTTCAATAGATTAACGATTTACTTGAAACAGTTATAACATCCACGTTTTTCGTGTTAAAAGTCCAAAGAAAAACCATTGCATTTCAGTTTTGGCAAAAATCATCTCAGAAACGAGTAAGATTAAAGGCTAAGTATGGGGGTGTTTTGAACTCAGCTAAGTGTACTCTACTTTCCATTAAGCTGTGTCCGTTTAAATCTGTACATTATCATGATTCCGTCATGGGATCTTTGATATCATGTTTTCGTGCTGGTAAATGATAGTGGGATTTTAAAATTTAATTAGAATTGTGAATAGAAATTAGAATTGTTAAATAGATTTTGGGGAATTGTCAGGGAGGTTTCAGAATTGTCATTAGAATTTTAATTTGAGAAATATGTAAATAGTTATAGGTATAAGTTAAATAAATTTAATAAAAAGTATAAAAGGTAAAGAAAATTTTATTTGAATAAAAAACAAGCTGAAGACATAATTGAAAGGAGAGTCAAATTAGTAAGAGTAAGAAGAGAAAACAGAACAGGAAGTACAGGCAAATAGGAGTTAGAACAGAAGGCAGCATATTAAGGAGAAAGAAAATAAGCGATAGAAGATTTTTTTTTTATTTGATTAAAACAAATGAGTTAGGTATTGAATTTGTTTTTAAATTGTTGTAGAAAGCCAAAGGTGCCACAACCCTAAGTCCTCTGAATATTAGAATAGTTTAACCTTTCCGGGGTGAAATCATTACAAAATGGCGACCAACGTGAGGAGCGAAAATGTGGTAGCAGCAAGAGTGGCCGAAGCAGGACAACAAGAATTGCTGAGGTAATTTTTCTTGTTACTATGGGTTTGTTTTGGTTCAAACAGAACCGTAGATTCCTGTTCCCAAATACAGTGGACAAATAATTTTTTCAAGAAAAACTCGCGATAATTTAACAGCCTATTGAGCTGATCGAGTGTAATTCACTTATTCTGAATTAGTTCATGAAAGAACCAAAACAAGCTTTATAATACACCGATCCTTGTGTGTTTGTTGTGTGAGATTGGGGTAATTTGAGAGAGTGGGAATGTGTGTTTAGATAGTAGAATATAAAGTAAAGGAAATAGATGAAATTAAGAAGTGGTACAAAGATGAAAATACAGAAGAGAAGGTCAAGAGGGAGAGTATCAGAGTCAAGTAGAAGTTCGGAAAAAAAAAGACTAGGGAGGATAAATAGGAAATTGATGTGATGGACATGTTCCAAATATAAATGAGGAGAATGGAAGAAAATAAACGTCAAATGGAAAATAAATTAGATGAGAATGCAAAGAAATTAAATGAAAATGCAAATCAAAAGAAGGAGAAAATACTGGAAGAATTAGAAAATTACTATGATTTTGAAGATGAAGTTTAGAAATATGTAGATGTACAAGAAAAAGATTTAAAGATAAAAATAGAAGACATAAAAATAGTAATTGAGGATAAAGAAGTAAATGAAGAAAAAGAAAAAAAAGATTTTTAAAGGTAAAAGAGTAAATATTAATAAAATGAATAAAAGAAAAAGAAATAAAAAGATAAAGATAAGAAGTAATTGAAGAAAAAGGAGTTAATCATGAAAAACAAATTTATAGTGTAAAAAAGAAGTATTTATGAAAAAAAAAAAATAGTAAAACTAGCAAAAGAAAAAGAAAAATTTAAGAATTAAAAAAAAATAAGAAATAAAATTAAATAAATCTGAAAACAAATTCCAGGAAAATAGAGAACAGAATAAAATAGAAAACAAACCGTATAGGATCAAGAAGACAATGTTATAATACTGTTGTAAAAAAATAAAATTAAATTAAAAAAGACAAAGAGAGAATAGGATGGTACATGGGGATAATGCAAAAATAAGATAACACCACTTTTTACATTTTAGAGTTAAGTACTTCTAATAATATGCGCCATTTATTATTTATGATAAACAGATGGCCAATAAAAACTAACTCCATATTAATACATTCAAAATTTGCACAAACAAGATGAAGATGAGTGACATTTATACCGAAACCTAATCATAACATTGTGTTCAATAATTGTTAATAGTGTGTCCAGATAAGAGACATACAACTTATTTTGCAAATTGTATTTAGTCTGATTCCTATAATAGTATATATTTCTGCCAAAACAAGATAAAGGCCAGAATATTTATTTTTGTTGAATGTATTTGTTGAAATAGGTACTTCAACATTTTGCCCAAACCATTTGTTTTGATTTGCCTAGAGTTGTCCCTGGCCTTTTTCGATTATTCCGAAATCGACAAGGTAATTACGTCACCTTTTCTAGTATTGATGCTGATCACTATTGACTGTTTGGTTTTATTCACTTTCTTGATGGAACTCCTCCCATAGTTCTCAAAAACCCCTCCCATGAAAAATGGCTGGCTACGCCACTGGTCATTGGTATCATATTTTATCAAGTCATATCTTGTGTTGCTACACAACAATGACATGTACAATTATTAGGCACTAGGTTAAATGGTTTTTCTTTGGATATTTTAAATGTTAAAAATAACAGGTGCACAATAAAAAAACACGCAGTAAGAAAGTTCAGTATAAAATGTGAACAATAAAAAAATTATAGTATGTAGTTTATATTCGTGTATTCTTGTTTAAAACAAATCATTTAATAAACATCAAGCTTACCAAAAATGCCAAATTTATAAACACTACAGAATAATCAAAAATTTATTTCCTATATATGTTATGGAACTAAACTTTCATAATAAAAATGTATAAAAGAGAATCGAATGCAGTCAAAGGATGTAAATTTTTAAATGCATATTATGATTTTGATAGGAATACAATTAATAACCATAAAGTTACTGCAAAAGCTCTTAAATTTGATTCCATATGACAAGTACGCTGAGTCAATAAGGATCTATATTCCTTCTTCCTTTAATTACAGAACTGTCATCTGTACGGGTTTAAATAATGAGTGGAGTGATGGACAAAAAATGTTCCTAAAGAATTCCTTGAATTTGGTCATGACCTACTTTAGAAATATTTTTTGTGGATCACTCTTAACGTAAATATAATATTGTGCAGTATATACAGGGTTAATCCAAAGTTTATATAATACTTTTTTTAACTGTGTATAAAAGTCATTAAACAACTATTTTTAATAACTTTTTCAAAAAACTCAAAAATACGAAAATTACTATAATTAATTCCAAAGTGATCCAACTTTTGTCAAAAAATGTTGATTACATCCATGCGTTGTACGAACCATTCATAAACATTAACTCTGCGGGAGAAATATTTGGCTTATCCTACTCGCGCACTTATCCAACAACAACAACAACAACAACAACAACAACAACAACAACAACAACAACAACAACAACAACAACAACAACAACAACAAACAATAACAACAACATCAACAACAGGTCCTCGATAACATTATTTAAAATGGGTTCTTCTAAACAGATAAACAAGAAAATCTGAAAAACAAACGAAAAAAACAAATAGATAGACTTATTAATTCGTTTAAGTTTTCGTACATAAGTTGAGGACCGGATTTAGATTTATTCATTTTTTTGAGTTTTTAAAAAAGTTATTTAAAACATTTAAAAAACTTCTATAAACAGTTAAAACATTTAAAATCATTTAGAATTCACCCTGTAAAATAGGTAAAACAAAGTTACTAGGTAAAGGTACCCAAGTTGTTTGTTATTCCTTCTCTATCCATTTTTGAATTGATTAAAACTAAATTAGATTTATTTAAAAACTTCATGCATTCTTTGGCTTGCTTCATTTTATCTTTATCTTATAATAAATAGTGGTATTCCTGAAAGATTGTCAATAATACTTATTATAATTAGCTGGTTATTAAAAATACATATTACTGTGTTTCTTACAAGAAAATTGGCTAAACTCTTTTGGAAACATTTATAGAAACCCTGCTTTTACTTTCAAATTGAAAATCAAACTTTCAGAAATACCTACATCTCGATTACGTCCCAAATTCGAGAAACTCCTCTTTTGTAACAAACTAAACTATAATAGGGCAATCCTCTGTCTCCTTAATGATGCCCTTATTACATTTCAACTACAAAAAATACCTATTTTTGTCTTAGCAGAATCTGACTCTACTGTTTTTTCGTTTTTAGTGTCCTCTAAACCAAAAGAAAATAAGTATTAATATCGATGGTTCAGAAAATGTACCTTTATTAGCCTAATATTTTTTATCTAAAGTTCATAGTACTTCAATTAATAAAGCTATAATAAAAGTAAGTAATGAGAATACACTCTCATTAAGTGGAAAACATTATCCTGGTTTTTAACATTAAAAATACTAGATTACAATCATGGGCGTCGCCATACGAGGGCAAAGGGACGTCTGCTCCCCCTGGATTTGTGATTTTGGATTACAATCATACCTATTTATACCAATTCAGTTGGTAACTTGAAGAATTCCGGGAAAATCTGTATTTAGCAACTTGTATTAAAAGTTAAAGAAATATTTATATTCCAACTGAATAGTGCAAGAGTTGTGTTTTGTTATAATAGACTATCAGATATACAGTAACCTAAAAGATAATAGAACTTTTGCCAATTCAGTCGCTAGGGACTTAAGAAAGCAGGGAAATAGTCTAGGGGACTGCTGGAACTATGTTCATGCTTTGCAGCGATGTCGTCTTACAAATGTCGCTTTTGGAACTACGTTCATTTAGCTCAATAGCTTTGTAGCGATTTCTCGCTATATTTCTGTCGGCGGAAAGCAACGCCTTGCATAAGTAGAATAGAGAGGACATACTATTATATTTTTTGAAAGAAAAATAACCTCAAATATAATTTTTAACTTGAAATTGTTTTATCCCAAAGAATTTAAGGTGTTAATCAGTTGCTCCCAATATTTTTTAAGCATGTGTTTTCTGCAGCACCCGTAAATGTACTTGTAATTGTGCCTGCATAATTGAGAATACTTTGGTAGTACTCAGATCGCAATATCTTCGCTAGAAAATAAATTAATTGCGTGGAGAGACGATAAAAAATTAATAAATATGAAATCAAGAATACACTGGTCTGTTAGTTATTAATTTGAATGCAATGAAACAACTGCCAATATTTATTTATTTCTTAATCCGATATGGGTGTAAATTCAGTGAATGACCTATACATGTTTTTCCTTGTCCCTCAAGCATTTGCTCAAAAGTAGGAGCATAGAGTTCTTGTATTTTTAATTGTAGACCGTTATCAGTCGTTCTTTTTTGACGTCATAGAGTTTCATGCATCAAGAGCAATAAACCCTTAAACAGTAATCTCTCAGAATATAAATAAAGGTTTCCTCTCCCTTTCCTTTCTCTTTCTTCTCTCTTTCCTCTCTCTTTCCTCTCTCTTTCCTCTCTCTTGCCTCTCTCTTTCCTCTCTCTTTCCTCTCTCTTTCCTCTCTCTTTCCTCTCTCTTTCCTCTCTCTTTCCTCTCTCTTTCCTCTCTCTTTCCTCTCTCTTTCCTCTCTCTTTCCTCTCTCTTTCCTCTCTCTTTCCTCTCTCTTTCCTCTCTCTTTCCTCTCTCTTTCCTCTCTCTTTCCTCTCTTTCGTCACTCTTTCCTCACCCTTTCCTCTCCCTTTCCTCTCCCTTTACTCTCCCTTTCCTCTCCTTCTAATCCCTTTCCTCTCCCTTTCCTCTCCCTTACCTCTCCCTTTCCTCTCCCTTTCCTCTCCCTTTCCTCTCCCTTTCCTCTCCCTTTCCTCTCCCTTTCCTCTCCCTTTCCTCTCCATTTCCTCTCCCTTTCCTCTCCCTTTCCTCTCCCTTTCCTCTCCCTTTCCTCTCCCTTTCCTCTCCCTTTCCTCTCCCTTTCCTCTCCCTTTCCTCTCCCTTTCCTCTCCCTTTCCTCTCCCTTTCCTCTCCCTTTCCTCTCCCTTTCCTCTCCCTTTCCTCTCCCTTTTCTCTCCCTTTCCTCTCCCTTTCCTCTCCCTTTCCTCTCCCTTTCCTCTCCCTTTCCTCTCCCTTTCCTCTCCCTTTCCTCTCCCTTTCCTCTCCCTTTCCTCTCCCTTTCCTCTCCCTTTCCTCTCCCTTTCCTCTCCCTTTCCTCTCCCTTTCCTCTCCCTTTCCTCTCCCTTTCCTCTCCCTTTCCTCTCCCTTTCCTCTCCCTTTCCTCTCCCTTTCCTCTCCCTTTCCTCTCCCTTTCCTCTCCCTTTCCTCTCCCTTTCCTCTCCCTTTCCTCTCCCTTTCCTCTCCCTTTCCTCTCCCTTTCCTCTCCCTTTCCTCTCCCTTTCCTCTCCCTTTCCTCTCCCTTTCCTCTCCCTTTCCTCTCCCTTTCCTCTCTCTCTCCTCTCCCTTTCCTCTCTCTTTCCTCACAAAATCTGCAGTCACTATCTTCTGGTAGTCTAAGTTTACTAAGGCATCCTTTGAGTCGTCAATGTCCGGTAAAAATTCCTACTATGCGTAGCTTGTTCTTTCTTTGACAGATACAGGCTTTGATATTTTCTGGCTAGAGTCACCAAGAACTATCATGCATCTCTTAGCCGCAAGAGACCTTTCCAATTGTCAACTATTCTAATGTACAATTATGTATTAATCGCTCCTAATGTTGTTTTACTCTTAATACCGCAAAATGGCTCAGGTCCACAAAGAGTGTTTGAACATCTTTCTTTGCGAGACTATCTACAATCATGTTACTTTTTACCTCGCTCTTATCCAAAACTCAAGTGACAGTAACTGAATTTTTCTCGCCTAACTCATTCAATTTTTCTAGGCACCTCCTGACTATTTTTGAACTGATTAAGTAAGAGCTCAGCGCTATCGGGCATGGTGATACATTCTTGTCTCTGATAGTTTGTATCAATGTTGATTTGGACACATTTCACACAATAGTATGAATGCCTGTTTGTGAGTTAAAACAGATGGAACTATTTGTGGAAATTCGCTACGAACGTTTACTACGATCTATTTGTTGCAAGATCGATTGGGTGAGGTCAAGAATGTCCAAGGTACATTTGGCTCGATATATAATTTCCTCTATACATAATGAACTACGCATTCTCCTAATGGATGTCATCCACCATAGTTACATTGTTAAATATCAGTGATTAAATCACATTTCATAAAGTATCCCCCAACTGTAGTAGAGATTCATTAAAGTTTACTTATGAAATGTTAAATTAGGATGTAAGTATTCTAATGAAACATATAATATATTACCTGTAGCTGGTGCTTGATAACGTGACGGTGACATAGGTCTTCCTGAATATTTCCTATCCAGTCTGTCTAAGGCTGGTTTGTAATAACTCTCTCCAATATTGTAGTTTGCATCATACAATTTTGTCCTTGGCCGACTAAGAACTGTCCTTTTGGAAGACATTTTGTATCTGAAACAAAGAAACATTGTACATTTATGAACTTGGACAAAAATTTATTAATTTTGTATTTTATTTTAGTAATATAGTATAAAGTTTGGTTGTATGACCTTGCAACAATGACAACCGCATTGACAATACGCTAGTTTAGTGATGATGTAATTATGGTTCCACTGACAATTAAAGTGCGTTTTGTTCGTTTTGTTTACCTAAATTATATCGCTTTTTTTACTTTTATAAATATATTCCTAAAGTAAGTAGATAACATACATCAAATATACAATAGTATAGTTACCAATTATATACCTTTAAACTATTTTTTATAACCTAAACAATATTTAGAAATAAACTAAAAACAGTAGAAACGTATATGTCAAATTTATTGAAGTGTTTGTTAAAAGTTTGGTTAGAATTAAATGTCAGTGAACCAAAATGACATCACACTAAATTAGCGCATAGTAGTTTGTGCAACACGAGTGGATATGGACAGTAATCACTTCTAAGGAGCCAGGTTTTTGAGTATTTGGTCATAAAAAACCGCCTACCAGCCATTTCTTTAATGTTGATTAGTATTATCCAAATTAAATAAGGCATAAGCTTTTGAACCAACTTTTGATCATACTGTTTATCAAAATTACATACCAGAAAACAGATGTCGAATTTATATAAAAGAACATTATAAATAGTTAAACTAGCTGATAAGTATCAAAAACAATCAAAATATTTTAAAACTCATAAAAGAAATTCAAAAAATCGAAAATTTTAACAAGCCAAGTTTATCGAAACAATTACGTAACAGAAGTAAATAATTATTCTATAAAGAACCCATAATATATAAAAATTAAAAAAACCCAATGGAATTATTAATCGAGACTGGCAGTTCAAAAAAAACAGAAAAATATAAAATATAACATTGAATACTTTCTTAGGTAGCAAAGAAATCAAATATAGACAGACTTAAGGGGTAAAGCAAAGCGACCATATTTTTTTAGTTGGGCACCCAAATATTTTTACAAAAATTGTTTGAATTTGAGCTTTATAAATCTGAAAATTCAACATCTTAATATATTTCTTCGTTTTTAGGTCTTTCTTTCAAAATCAAATCGTTTCTTTTATACTAGGAAATTTCCCGTGGTGCCTCAGTCAAAATAAGGCTGGAACCACGAATTCAGCTTCTCTCGTTTTTTTTTTAATATTTTGGAGTTCTTTGTTTTGTTATTATTGTTTCATTGTGTAATAATTAACAAAAATAATAATTATTCTTTGACTGTTGCAACCACGAATTCAACGTCTTTCGATTTTTTTTTAATATTTTGGAATGTTTATAATTTTTTAAATATTGTTCTTTGTTTTGTTATTATTATTATTATTATTATTATTATTAACCGACTTCAAAAAAGGAGGAGGTTATCAATTCGTCGCGATATTTTTTTTTTTTATGTTCAGCGATAATTCTTTAACACGGTGTCCGATTTCAATAATTCTTTTTTTGTTTTTTTGTTAGAAAGGGGCTACTTCAGGGGTGGTCCCATATTAATTTGGTCAAAATCTAATAATTGGATCCATGAGAAAATCCTCAAACTCTTCATTTTTTATGTATGTTTAGCGATAATGCTTTACCACCTTGTCCGATTTATATGATTCTTTTTTTGTTAGTAAGGGGGTACCTCAGGGGTGGTCCCATATAAATTTGGTTAAGATGTGGTGATGGCATCTGCACGTTTTTGAAGTCGGTTTTTTTAAATTTTTAATTTCTAATACTTGTTATTATTATTATTTTATTGTGTAATAATTAACAAAAATAATACTTATTCTGTGACGGTTTTCGTATGATTGCTTCAAATACTTTCAAGTCTATGAATTAGTCATACATTGAAGCTATGCATATTCCCACTGATTTGGCTTTGAAATTTTAAAAATTGTTGGATAGATTGTATGCAACACCTTTAAGATACCTCTATCACATAAAAAATCGTTTGATTGAAAACAAGGAAGCGTGCGTACCACTTCATTATTTATAACATTTTTTAAACTTTCTTGAGCTCTACAAAAATTAAGTATGGGCAAAGATCAAAGATACAACCAAAGCGACACTCCTTTGTTCTCACTGAAAAGGTGACCTCGAGCATTTAAATTGAACAAACACAAGTTGCTAGATTGTGAAATTACACAAAAGCGTGTTTACCGAAACAACAAAAATATTTCGACGGTATCATTTTAGTACCTTGTAACCCTCACTATTACAGAAATGATATTTTTTCATCAAATTATCACAATAACCCTTGCACATTGTTACGAAAAACCTTATAGCCCACAATTTTTTTTAAACTAAATAAATTAAGCTTTTATAATTCCTCGTATAATAACTTTGTAATAAGCAAACAGCGGTAAGCCTTGGGTTCTCCTGTGAAATATGATTTTTATTCTTACGCGGTTTTAGAATGACACCAGCGATTTGACCCGAAACCAAATGACTCGTTTACATTTTGTCAAACTTTTTTGTAGAAAGATAAGATGAAGTTTCATTACTTCCTGTGCATCTTTTATTATAATTCTACACAAAAAACGGAAATTGCATTTTGGCAAACTCAAACAATTAAAAAATAATCTAAAAATCTAATTCCTGGCACTTTTAACCCAACTATTATCTACGCTCATGATTTTTTGTTTCATTGAAATTGAAAATATCGCAATCGGCACAGTGTTTGAGGTGAGGAGGTCCGTGAAAAGCTAATAATAGTCCCGTACCCAAGTTTCTAGGGGCCGGTGGCTTCAATGCTATCTTTAACTTTTTGATTTTGAGAAATTATTATCTTTTGACCGACATGCAGTGGCATTCCTTTCAAATAAAGGTCATATCCATTCATTTACTTCTAATTTCATGTAATTAGTACACACGCAATTCTGTCAAAATGAATTGACCGTACACATGAATTATGTTCAACCCATTTTAAATAGACGCAAGTTGACAACTAAGTATTTTAAGTACGATGCTGTCCAAGAAGAATATTTTCATGTGCAAGTTTAAAATATATCAAAGAGCGTGCGATTTTACTCCCTTTTTGGCAATAATACAAATCTTTCAAATAAATATAGTGACCAAAATACTTCTAGTGGGACTAAGTCTCTATTCGCTATCTAGATCCATATTTTGGGTAAATCAACCCCAGTCTCTTCTTTACAATATCTCTCCATTTTCCTCTCTCCTCACTTTATCTTGCCGATTATTAATTTCTTCCACTTCCTTCTCTTCGTTTCGTTGGCTCCATATTTAATGAATTTGATGTCAATTATTCCATCTTTCTCCGGTGACTTACCATTTATATTTTTTCCAATTATCTTTTCCAAATCTCTCTTGTTGGATCAGATTATTGTCCCTTTCTTCTGCTATCTCATCTTTCTCCAAATTCAGATCAACAGATCCCTGAAGTAATCTATCCACACCTGCTTGTATTTTTGATCTTCTTCTTCTAGGACTACTTCTTTTTATTTTTTATTCCATTAGTTTTACCTTTGTAGATTTGGTTCTAGTCTTTTTCTTGTAAACAATTTTGTATTTCGACTACTTCTCCTTCTTGTTCAATTAATTTTATTTTATTGTCTACCCACTAACTTTTACTTCCTTTTCTTAGTTTCTTGCCTTGTTTTATTTTATTTGTTCTCAGCCAAATTATTCAAATACAAATTCATATTTTTTAAAGGAAAACAAAAAGACACGTTTAAAAATCCAAAATTAAAATCAATAAATCAAGCTTGTCAAATATTATTTTTCTCTGATCGGATGGACATTTATTTCCCCAGCTACTCGCGGGACTAATATGGACCAAAACACAAAAATAAATAAGAACAGGGAGCTCCCAGAAGGAGAAGCCCTTCAAAAACAACAAAAAGAGGCAATGGAAACCGAAGCGATTCCAGGAGAATTAACTTCGTCTCCATTAACCTCTGTGCAACGTCCTGAGGGAAGTGATAATCTCACAATAGTCTGGCCTAAGAAGAGTTCAAAACTCAACAGTACTCACCTGGAGCCGCAAGAGCGACTCTCAAGTGCCCGAAAGAGGAAACAGTCAATTCTGATGGCCATTGCAGAAGAACCACCAAGCAGACCCAGGGCTGAGAGAAGGACGAAGAAGAAAAAGCTAACCGAACTCCTCAACTCAAACGGCGCTGCCTCCAAAGCGACAGTCCTTTATCAACGAAAACCACTCTAAGAGGCCAACCCAAGAAGCCATAAACTGGGTCAGACAGGGCAAGGGCAACCACTTCTGCAGCGCAAGCGGTAGAAGGTGGCTTATCATACAAAGAAGCATTAGCGCCCATAAAAATGGATGTGGTGCCGGAAGAATTCCTAAAGGAATTTCTTTCTGAAGAACAGGCAGGTAAGACTCAGGAAGAACTGATGAGAGAGATTTTAAAGAGAGGGAAGGGAACAAAGCGACAGTTCAAGAAGGGATACTTCCATAACGGAGCTATCCATCGGCAAGTGGAAGACAACTATCAAACCATTGTTCTACTGATATACGACAACTCTCTGAAGACTTTGGAAAACCTGCAGTTGAAACCCTACTTGGGCCTAACTCAGGCAATCTTCAGAGTGCAGAGAGAGAGAAAGGAAGAACTTTCAAATGCTCAGAATAGTGCAAGCTAATCTGAGGCACAACAAGGCTGCCTCCGCAACCCTTGCACGTACCATTATCAGGTAGGACATAGACGTATCCCTAATACAAAAGGCCTGTATCTACAAAGGGCATGTGATAAGGTTAGTTAATATACAATACCCAATGTGGAAACACTAGGGTATGTATATACATACGCAATAGTCTAGACATCCTCAAATTACAAGATTTCTGTTTTAGAGAACTAGTAGCAGTCAGGATGGAAATAAACATAGCAGGCAACAAGAAGTCACTCATTTTAACCTCTCCATACTTTCCCTATGACTCGCCCAGTCCTCCACCAACAGATGAGCTGAGGGAGTAAATACATGTCGGGCCGAAAACCTGTAGTTACTTATTTCTGCAGATAGAAATTCACACCATATAACATGGGGCAGCAGTGACAACAACAAAAGAGGTGAGTCTTTACTTCAATTCATTCTAACTATTGAATCGTGGAAATGAAGCTTCTGTTGTAACCAGTATACGGAGCGAGGTTATTGATATTACCCTTGGTTCTCCCTTCGTTTTAAATTGGCAAGTGGTACGTGCCTAGAGAGCCTTCGCTCTCAGATCATCGGTATATTCTCATGGAAATCGACAACGTCGATAAACCAGGAGATGTATACCGAAACCCACATAAAACCGATTGGTTTGGATACGGGGTAGAGCTGGGTACAGCATTACAAACCGTTAAAACAACTCTTAATACTAAATATGATATAGATGAAGTTGAAGAACAACTACGTGACGCAATAATAACATCATATCACAATAACTGTTCGTTAAAGAACAGTAAAACTTCTAGAGAAGTGAGCTGGGGGAAAACCGAACTCACCAAACAGAAAAAAAAACACGTAAACTTTTTAATAAGGCCAAAAAGAATGGGTGTGGGGCATACACGGAAACACTCACATAGTACAACAAAACTCTTTAAAAAATCTAAGAGGAATTTATGGAGAATATTCTGTCAGGAAATTGAAAATATAACTGAAGGATGCAGACTCCACTGCATTCTAGCAAAAGATCCAATCAACCCTGTGGGGGAATACCCCAAACAGGGGAATACACTAAAACTTCTCAAAACTCATTTCCCTGATTGCACAACAAACCCGAATGCACCACACGAACTGGAACTCTCAAAAAAGAGTCTCTAGCCAAGAGTGTGAAACTGCAAAACGGGTAGTCACAATAGAGAAAGTAACATGGGCAATACGCACCTTTAATCTATATAATCAGTGGGACCAGATGGAGTATTAACTGTTCTTCTGCAACAGGCAATAGAAACACTGGCCCCGCATATTTATAGGCTCTAAAGAGTAAGTTTGGTGCATAAACATGTACCAAATACTTGGAAACAAAGCAGAGTAGTTTTTATACCTAAACCAACAAATGCCGTGGCAAAGGCCAATAACTCTGACGTCATTTCTATTAAAGGATTGGAAAAACTGATTGATCAGCATGTCCGGCAAACCACTCCGATAGAATATAATGCAATTGGCTTTAAAATGTAAGGTTTCATCTGAGGTTATTCCTAAAAATTGTATAGAGTCAACTTTATTTTTTATGTTCGTTAGTTGCATTGATATATAAAGTAGATTTGAATTCTGATAAATATAAAAGCACATGTAATTTGTTTTAGAAATGTTAAAAATAGAGATTGATTACTGGACCATTCAGAAAACGTTTTAAGAGTAATATCTATTTTATTTTGCAGTATTTATTCTGATAATTTTGAGAAAATAAAGTGTAAGTTATCTACATATATTATTGTAAGAAAAATTGATTGCCTGAATAAATAATTTTAACTGATTGGAGCCGATCTTCAATATAGGATTTGAACCATTTATTTTAAGTCAGTTTTTTTAGTTACTTAAGTAGATAATTCTTGTACAAAAATTAAATGTACATGGTTGGGTGGAAGAGCAGAGTTACTTAAAGGCAGTTCATCTACCTTTAAGGAACACTGAACCCTGACAATTGACATAAGTCATATATGTATGTATAATGTCAATAAAAGCATTTATTATTTTTTTTGTACGTCATCGGCTTCAACTGCTAAGGTTATTTCGCCTCGTGTTCTGTGTAGGCTTTGTTACTGTTTCCCAGCGCCACTTTAGGAACAGCACTGTTAATTAGAACCCAACAGTGAATGGTCGAGTGGGGAATTCTACCAAGGCATCAGAATTAATTTTAAATAAATAAATTAAATGAAAAAATTCCGATCGAAAGCCCTGCTAAGATCACAGAAGATTCCTGCAGGGCTGTCGCCGCGTTCAATGGATTTAAGTATCTTCTCATATAAGGAGATGATAGCAGTCTTAGTAAAATAATTGGGTGGAATCCATGCTCTGGGATTCCAGTAAAACTTTATTTAAATGCATTAGTTGCAGTAATGAATTCAAGATTTTTAGAGAATCTCGAAGTTACCGAAAGTGGTCGATAATTGAACATTTCTGTGATCCCTTTTTTAATATAGGCAAAATAATGGAAATCTTAAGCCTTTCAGGAAATATGCCTTTTAGCAATTTATTAATTATATGTGTCAAAGGTGTAATTTTGTGCAGATATGCTAATAGAAGCAACATGCCCAAGAGTAAGCGGTTAGATTTATGAATCAGAAAATTAAAAATAATTATGTTGCCTATGTTTTTACCCTAGAACCTTAAGTTAGCTAATAAATAATCTGAATTGATTTTTTTTCATTCATTCTAGATTATTTCGTCAAATTAGCAATCTTAATAATTAATAATTTTTAATATTGTAGATAGTTTGATTTGAGTTTGCGTCATGCCCTTTATTTTAAAGTTTCGTCAGTTAAATTAAGTGGCTATATTTTTATTTGAAGAATCGTTCATTCAATTGTGATAATAATTGAATTTTGTATTTTCGACAAGTCTTATGTGAATTTTTTAGCATGCAGATAGATTTTTTTAAGTTCAGGAAATTTTTTCTGTAATTGATTTAGATTTTTATGGTTTGCGTTTATTGTTTTAAGAATTTATTATTTTTTATTAATTTTTAATTATTGGTATTCAAGAGTGTCATGAAAAAAGTTAAATTTTGAATTGGTATCATTTTCTTAAAGAAAGTAATTGCGGTATTTTAGTAAGACCTTAGGGAAAGCTGAGAAGAATAATTGCGTTACTAACAAAGAACTTTTAGCTATTGTCAAAGCCCTTAAACACTTCCATACTTACCTTTTTAACAGAAATTATATCATTAGAAGTGACCATAGCAGCTTTTAGTGGCTGATAAATTATAAAAAACTTGAAGGACAAGCTGCTAGATGAATAGAAAGACTGCAACAATATAACCTTGAGATAGTGTATCGTAGAGGTCGTCTTTATAGATATCCCTTCCAGGCGACCCTGTTTAGAACAATGCCGGTACTATAAAATACTCAAAAAACGAGAGGAACCGGTTGAAGAGGTTAGTTTTCAGGCAATCACTATCAAGCCAGAGTGTGACGAAGACGAAATCACCCTTGAAAGCCTAAAAAAGATTCAAAAGAAAGACAATGACTTGAAGGTTATCCGAGAATGGCAAGAGATGGCCAAATATAGTGGAACTGTCAAAAGGTATTGGACTCAGTGGGATTCTCTGTGTCTTCACGATGGCCTATTGCACCGGAAGTGGGATAGCCTCGATGGAGTACATGTAGTTCAAAATCATATGTCAGAAGTGTGTTGGAGGAGCTTCATAGCAGCTGTTTAGAAGGACATTTTGGTACTAAAAGAACACTGGTACGAGTTCAGGAAAGATTTTAATGGGTCGATTGCCGATAGGCTGTAGAAGATTCCAGGATTCAGTGAAAAATTTAGAAATAAGATTATTTATATTAGTTTTCCGCAGATCTCTATATCGATGAGGATTGCTGAGGTTTTTTTTTTTTATTTTCTACGTTAAGTTTAAATAAAAAGTTATCACATAATTTGGCGGTCCAAATAATTAACTGCGCGGAATCCTGGTGTCAGTGACTGGTTTTTAATTGTTGTTGGAACAGACCTAAGGTCAGAATCTGTATTACAAGTTACAATTTCTTCAGTTTCTTCACAGTTTGTGAATTTTATTTGTGAGAAAATAAAACAAGTCCAAATCAATCATTGAAGAAGGCCACATTTGAAGATGGCCACAAGTTTATTTTATTTGTGTTCCTTGTAGTAGTGATTTTTTTTAGAAATAATCTAAAAGAGACTAATAATTTTTCAAATGCAAAAAATTGATTCGAATTCATGGATTTTCAGTTCTAGGCGCCGTCGTGCTCCACACGACCTTGCCCATACAGACGGCGCGTCACTGTTGGGATACTTTAAGGCGAAAGTCTATTGAACCGAATCATGATTTACGAATGGATTCATCAAAAATATCAACACATAAATCCACAAGTTTTTCGTGATGTTAAAGATCGAGATGTATATCAAGCACCTATCATTACATGGACGGTAATGAACGTGAATTTTAACAGTGCCGGTGCACCTGGTAACAACCCCGACTTAGTTACCTTTATAAGGAAAGTAACGATCCTGCCTTGCTACGAGGGCTACATAACAACTTATACGAACCGGTTTTAACTCTAAACTTGTCATTTAAAATAATATGTGGATTCCAAAAGATACAGCTTAAGCTTCATGTTAATTTTTATCTACAGGGTTTTCCAGGAAAAAAAATATAGGGTAGTTATTGGATTGAAGGGGTGAAACATTACACATATAATCATACCACAAAATATTATATTTGTCGTGGTATTTTTACACAAACTAAAAGGTCTACACCGCGCATATTAGTGAAAGTCGTCATTTAAGCATTTGCAGAAAAAAAAAAAAGAAAAAGCATGGTACGTTTTATAATAAATTTGTTTTAAAATATAATAAATACATGGGAACAAAATTAATAGTAGTGGGTAAATGTATTGTTTCTGTCGACCATTTTTAAAAAAAGAAATAACTAGATTTAACCTTTACATCCCACGTAATTAAAAAGTATAAATAACCTCCCGTGCTTTAGTGACTTAAAATCTAAATTCCCGTCACAAAACTACTTACATGACCATAGAAAGTGTCAGGTCTGGTTAATTGCCCACTGATTAAAGTTACATTTTAATCATTACAAATCGATGCCAACTGTATTTTTAGATAGTTACACATGTATTGGGTATCCTTCTTCTATACTAGTAACATCCAGCCGGCGATTTCAAAATTAAATATAGGAACACCTCACATACATTATACAGAATATATAGCGAAATTTGACCGACATTTTGACGATAAAAATAGCACACAATCACTTTTGTTATGCAAAAAATAGTTACTTGTACTTATATCGTTAAATAATGACCTTACCTTGAGTGTTAGAAGAGACTTAAATTTTTTTATCAAAAAAATTGCACCGAAAACCACTACAAGATGCTCGAGAGTTAAAACGAAAAGTCAGACTGGTAGTTCTCCCACTACTTGCTAAGTAATGCGCTCCCACTCAGATATTTTTATTTCGGGATCAATGGGATTTTTCGTATCTTTTTTTTTGTAAAAGGAGGAATTGTTTGTCGACTCAAGTGAGAAAAAGTAAAAAAATATGTTTGTTTTACGTATTATGGCGTCTATTAGGATTTATTTTCGGAGGCATTTTATTGACTTTTAAACATCTGGAGGCTAGGTTGAAATTATCTACAGGTGTTCTTGAGAAAGCAGATAATATCTTATTTATATTTTTTGTGTATAAAAACTAACTCAAAAAGAATAGGTGCTGTCGTACATTATTATTATTATATGTATGAAATCAAATGCCTGTCGTCGGCATATAGCTGGGAGTGTATTTGTTTTCCCTGCAAATATGGTCACTATATAATTTTGTTCATATAATAATTCATATCAGACATAAACATATGGCTAGGAGTACCTAACAGGATGAATGATAGTTGTATGAGTTTTCTTTATCCCTAGTATTATTAAAGTTAATGCCATTTATTAACAGTTTAATATATTTTTTCTCAATACAACTATTATAGTTGTATAGTGTTTTTCATGAAAGTACGTAATTAATTTTGAATTGTGACAGCTGTGTAAAGCAAGCGTATTAGACGTAAATACTGATTAATTCATTAAACATATGCTCGCTCCTCAAACAAACATACTCACATAAACCATCCTCACTCATTAGCAGCTATCTCCTTCTTTCTAATGCGGCAGCCGATGCGACAGCTCTATCTGCGTAATAATAAACACAATCTGCATGATTGCAATAAAAAAGGGCTTAATAGGCCCATCCCGTTATTAGTGGCGCATCCAGAGTTTATGTCTGGGGGGAAGGGATAGTGGTAATCAGGGTCGCCGAGAGCAATGGGGCATTTTTATAAAATTAGTTCTCTTCTTTGTGAAATTTCTTTTTGTCATTAAGTAGGTATTTATTTATTGTTTTAGAAAAACGTTAGAGAGATTTGATATATGAAGAAAAATATCTGAATTCCCATTATTAAGTTTGCACTTAACATTTTAAAATAAGACACCATTGGCCATTCGTTTAGAAAATAAGAACAAAAATGTTAATGTTACAAATAACGATCAAAAATTAAAAAATGATTTGTCATGAATAGATTTACAATAATTAATCAATAATAGACTGTAAGCGTAGTATTCTTTTTAATAAATAATTTAGCGTAATTATATTGTTTAAATTTAGTTACCAGAGCGTGAGAGTGCAGTCGATATTTATACAACCTTTTTTATCAGGTTTTTAAATCTGCGTTGTTCGATATCGATGAAAGCGTCACATAGTGGGTCAGATGTTAACTGCATTAAAGCTGATCCTTGTTAAGCATTGGCTTCTTATGAGCGTTTCCTATATTTACTCCCTTATCTCTGGTAACAATTTTAACAGAGTCTAACTTAGTTAAATGTGGCATCTTACTCGCCGAAACTACAGAAACAAGAAATAAATCATTGGAAATGTCATTCTGGCAATAACAAACGAAATAGCAGTCGTTGTTATTATTAAATTAAATGAAACGTCAAACCCTTCAGTGCAAGGATCTAGCAATAAAAAACTCAAAAAGTCTTAAAGAAAAAAAAAAAAAATAATGACAAAATAATATATGCAATATTTTTGTCTGTGTATTTAAAAGATTTTTAAATTTGTTTTCGACTATAATGGCTAATTCAAATGATTGTTTTTAAATAATTATAAAAAAATACTCCCTACAAAGTCCTAATTGTGCATTAAACCAAAAAATTTGCATTTTTTTATATGGTGATATCAATATCTCGTTTTTTTATGATAGTGCCCTTTTGCCCTGTCTAATTTTGTATTGCTTCCGGAATAAGAGTTAGCTTATCATGTGCTTCATCCCTGAAAAATTCAGCTTGTAACACCAAAGTTTGGAGGTAAAATCAAGTTTTAATCTACATTCTACTACTCGCATATTGTAAAATACATATTATTTTGTGCTATTATGGAATATTTTACGGTTTCTTTGTCTCTTAAATGAGGTTTTATCTATTTTTGAAAATAAACGTACTGCTGTGAAATTAAAAAATATAACTATTTTTTTATAGGATATCTCTGAAACCGTTTCTGATATTTTAATTTTATTTGGGGTTTGAAATATACAACCCTATGCACAATGGGCCTAGTGAGGCTTAAGGGCCGTAGGCTAACCCTCCCTCTACACGTTACAGATATATATACAACTCGCATCACTAACAGTTTTTACAAGATACTTTTCAATAAAAAAGTGGCACCCTGTATAATAATTACAACATTCTTTTTAAACTTTTTTTCTCTTCAGTTCAACGAAGTTGGGATGATTAAAGAAATAAAAAACGATTCGTTCGAAATAATTTATTTATAAATAATCTAATCTAAAATAAGTTAGTTTATATGTCTTTTGGGTTAACAACAACATTCACATCAAGTTTTGCATTTTTTGAATAAAAGTATAGTAAACTGAACACCTCGGTAAACTAAACCAAACAAATTAAAAAGAGAGGACAATAGTACGGCAATATAATAGTATAAAGGAATCTAAAAAGTTCAACAACAAACAAATCAGTGGTACCAATGCGATATTTTAATGTCATATGCCAATCTAAAACGATTTGTAAATATATTATTTAAAAAAACACACGCACACACAAACAAAATGTAAATATTACTGTATTTACTTTGTGTGGAGTATCCTACACCCCACCCTCGAAAACAAAACAGCTTTATTTAGAAGATAAACATAAATATTTGCAGGACAATCCCTCGTAAATATCAATTGATAACAATTAGTAAAATACTGCGTGGCTTGCATTTATGTAGCATTTCATCAGAAGACCACAAAGCATTCAAGTTTATACGATCACCATCCATAGTAAGCTGTAACAGTTTAAATTGGGTTCTTCCACCTCTAATGTAAAATTTTTAATTTTAAATTAATCGTAGGTTCGGCTGGTTTTTGGCCAATTCTTGGACCGTACTTAGAATAAAAAATTATTTATTAATCAAATAATGGTATTTGTCGTAAAAATATTGTGGTTGTAATGTTCATGGCAAGTTATTATTATGATGGGGTAAACGTTGTTTGCAAATGGACAAATGTATGCATAAAAATATCTTTTAAGTAAACTTAATTTAAAAGTTGACGAGCTGTATACTAACTGGCAAACTGCTACAAGTGGAAGGACAATATTTGGAAACCATAAAGATTTCACCTCAAAGGACTTGGAATCGTACCTATCTCATTTTCGACGCAAATGGACACACAATTGCCCTCGTAGCTATCGATATTATGTTCTAGATTGAGATCACAGAAAGTTTGTTTAGTTCTATCATCAAGTTTACGTAAACCATCAATTATTAGATTCACTAAAATCATGGTAGACTAACTCCCATTTAAAAACGAAAGAAAACGTTAAAATTGATGAAAGTTAGAAGAAAAATCCGGTAGGTTCGCTAATAATTTTAAGGCAACAGTGTTGCCCATGTCGAAGATTTTCCAATAACATTGTCGCCTAAAAATGAGGAACCTTGTGTTATTCCGGTAGTTCTGTTTATAGTGTTGATCGAATGAATATTAAAACTTTTCGACCTCGAGTGCCAAACGTACTTTCGTAAAAATCTAAAAAAGGCCAGTTTTTTTGCGATTTTAATCCCAAGGGACTAATTATACAATATTAGAAATGTAACTTTTTAAATTAGTGTAAATTTGATATGAGACAAGAACAGTTTCAGTAGACCAAATAGTTTTCAAAATACAGATTTTTCAATATTTATCAATTATAGTATGAGTTGAGATCAAGATCGGCAGATCAAACATACTTCTGTAATGTGGTTACCATCCCAAACTTGTTGAAATGCAAGAAAATACACATTTGATGGATATTATCAAGAAAACATCAGAAGAACAAACGAACGCTGTTATATTTGGAAATATTAACTATCGAGAAATAGACTAGACCAGTGTTTCTCAAACTTTTTTGGGGACGAAACCTTTTTGAAAAGCGAAATATTTGACGAAGCACTAAAATAATCATTAGATAGGTTTTATTAGATAGGTTATACTGGAATAAAAGGAAATCTATTATTGTGGATTAAGAGTTTGTTATTCAACCGGCAGTTCTGCATAAGAATAAATGGACAGCTATCAAATAACCATCCAGTATAAAGAGAAGTACAAGGTTCGGTCTTGGGTCCCCTATTATTTATTTTATACACCAGCGATTTATTCAAAATCATCGAGTCTGAAGCAAACTTTTATGCAAACGACGGAAAGATCTAATGCAAGCCATTGGAAAGCTCTCATAAAATGAAACAAGACTTGAATAAAATATCTGGTCCCAGCAATGGCTACTAGCCCTCAACATAAATGAGCGTACAGTATAGCACATTGTCCCAAATAACCCACACACACAGTACACCGTAAACACAAACATAATAACTCCAGTCAAAACACAAAAGGCTCTTGGTGTAATCATATTTAGAGACTTAAAATGGGAAATCCACAGTGCTAATATAGTAAAGAATGTCAACAGTCTCATTTACCTTATCAAAAGTGCTTTTAAAGACTATTCCGAAGAAAAAAAAATACAGTCAGTAATGAGAAATATAAAAAAATATCTTGCTGGAAGGTGGTTCATCTGTAAGTCCCCTCAAACCTCGTCAGCGTCCCTTGAAAGGGCGATGCATATACCGAAGAAAATAGGCCTACAGAGATGAAATTCCCACAGAACAACAAAATTATACTAAAAATTTCCGAGTTTGCAAAAATTGATCAATATTGAAAGGCAATATTTTAAAAACTATTGGGTACCAAATTTAGTATATTTTTAAAACATATGGCCTAGCTATAATCGAAATCTAGTTCTTCAGATTTAAAATAGACAAAATTTGAAAAAAAGGTAGAAAATTTTGTGATGTTTAGGATTTTCGACAATGTTGCATTTGGCGCTTGGCCAACATCATAAACAACTCAGCAAAAAATCAGAACTACCGGATCTAACGCAAGGGAATTTTGTAATTTTTGAATAAGGATTGTCACCATTTGATCCAGGCACCACTGAAACACTGTTCATTTGGTTCATTTTTTACCTCTCAAAAGTTTAATCGAGCAAATCTGTTTATTTTAACTTTTATCAAGTGAAAAATACAACTAGATGCTAATAACACTGGTATAACTGGTATATGTCTTTGTGGGCCGTGGCCTAGCTTAGAAATATTATTTGTGGATAACGAATCGCGGAAAACGTCAATTGTCAGCTCAGATTACAATTTTAATAGTGATCGTAGAAAAATAGCCGTTTCATGCCTTAAAAATCATAATCACCATCAAAATACCTTTGTATAGTAATTTATGGATCTGATAAACTTTGAGAGACCTTGTGAATATGATCTGTCTGAATGACAGTAACTTAAAATTTCTCACAGTCTAAACATCTGTCAAAGTTTATCAGGTGCATAAATTTTAATGACAATTCTTGTAACTGATTGATATAATTGTAATCTTATAAAAAAATTAAATCCCCTGTCACCTCTAATATACTCGTCAGTAAGTTTTAGATAAAAAACATTCCCATGGTTACGCAGCACCCATACTACCCTGAATTATTGTCTATATTTTTTTCTTTCTCCACAACTAATGGTTTAGATCAACAGATAGCATTTTGTGACAGAGGAAAACATTAAAAAAGCCCTAACCAAGCAACTATATGAATATCCTTCTTAAATCTGGGGTAGCTATGAAAATTTGACACATTTCATTGCGTATTTAAATAATATTTTTCTTAAGTTATATACTGTGATATTTACCTTTTGGCTATGATGATGGCTTTGTAAAGCCAAAAGCGCTCAGCCTACTTTTTAATAAAAAAACATTACACAATGATGTGTGCCTTTCACTTCAACCCTCAATTAACACGTTAAGCGTCATGAGGTATAATGCGCATGTCTCATCTCATTTGGCATTTTGGCCCTCACGGCACACATGCTAAGTCTTCACTGTCGACAGTTCTATTTGGCGCTTAACGTGTTAATAACCTATATTTTTTTAATTTAGCCTAAAATAATCTGTCTTTTTGATTTCTTGCAGTTGGCTTTTAAACATCTTCAGTAAGTAATCACGAAACTCCGACAAAAACGCCAAATAAACTGATAAAATACATAAGCAAAAAATATATATAAATCGATAACTAATACTGTAACAATAAATCGATATTTCATCAAGAGATTCAAACGGAATGATCAACAAACGATTCTGCAAACTTTTTGACAAATGACATTCGAGCCGCACGCACGGTACCACTTACTTTCAAACAGCTTTGGTAACTCGTATTTTTCTATTTTTTTTTTTTTTAACAAAAACTACATTTAGACGCTTGTCCGATATGCACGTGCACTGTGCATATATCCCTCAGTTCATTGCAAACGCCATCGAGGACAATCTTGTTTGATTCTGGGTGAGTTTTGAATGGTTCATTTTGATTGATGTCTCCGTCGCTCTTGATGCAGCTGACCGGTCGAGTCCTGGCTTGCAAAAGAGTTGAGTTATTCAGAATTCTATCTTTGGTCAACGAACTACAAGACTGCGCCTTATACAAGCCGTTTCTTTTGAATAAACCGGCTAAAGGGATGCATATCTTCTTTTGTACATGAAAGTATTTTCCTAACATGCGGATTTTTCTTATACCGCATTTTTCTATTTTATTGCACTCTTCCAAATTTCTAGTCGTGTCCCTGCGCGACGTTCTCGACTTTTCCTCGCTATATTTGTCTTTTTCTGGCGGTTTTTTTGATGATCTGCTCAGACCGTTGAGTATTCTTGCACCGACGCTTTTAACTTTTGGAGTTATAGATCCGGGCATGCTCAGTAGGGTGGTGGATACAACTAAAGTTTGGGTGTCTTCTTGAACCTCGGTTATCCTGTTCAAAGATTGGCTTTCTCTCAGTCTTGTTTTGCTACTCCTTTTCCTACACATTCTGAAATTGAAAAAAAAAAGGTATATTTATTGATTCGGATATTATATATGTAAATAAACATATTTTTAACGTTAAAATGCGCAAAAAGCTTTGTGAATTTCTTATACTATATCTGTTAAAAAATTGATCATCTGACATTAAATATTTACTGAGAAAATTAATTGATAATAAATATTTTCCTTTAAGACTGATACGTCTATGGATGTTTTTAATACAGCAGAAGATGATGACGAGCGGGCCGCCATGTTACGGTAACATAATCGGTTGTCTCACTCCAATTTAGAAATGGAATGATTTAGGTGTTGGCTGGCTTTACAACAAATACACTTTTATAAATGAGTAATTGAAGGGGGGGAAGTGGTTGTTTCAACACAAATTGAAAACGACATTAAACTTAATAGTTTAATGTATTTTTTAATGTCTATATTGTCAATTCATATTGTTATATCAAAGTTATTTTTTTTAAGATATGTAAATATTTAACTGACGTATTCACAAAGTTCTGTACTTTTTAACCAAACAAATAAATCATTTTAATTTGAATTTGAAAACAACTGTTGTATATACATTTTTAATTTAGGAATATTTGATCATGTCACCTTCAGTTTACTCAGCCTATATGGATAAAAATTAAAAAGCCTTTCAAATTACGTTTCTTCCACTTCTATATAGTGTAATGCGAGTCATTTTCGACCAGGCATGTTCTAATTCCTTAAATCCCTCTTTGCCTTGTTTGAGATTTTACACTCCCCTTGTTCAATTATCAATAATATTTAAAGAAATAAGTCAACCCCTGAAAGCCAACTTAATCTTCCGACTATGATAAATGAGACGCCTATAATGAACGCCAATAACAGTCTAGGTTCTAAACTCTAGAACACAGTAGGTGATACTAAATTGCAACTTTGGGCAAATATAAATGGGCTGTGTTGCTGTGGGAGAGTCAGTAGTTGAATATGAGATAGCTATGAGTGGATTGATAAAGTAAATCTCCACATAAATTAAAACTTAAATGTCTATAAAATTAGTATTAGGTTTAAATCTATTAGTTATAAAATAAATTAGCGTATAAGTGTGTGTGTATATAAATTAAAATATTACTGTTTTAACCAAGTTAAAAAACTAATTAAAAAAAACAGACTCCAAAATGGTGCAGATGCTTTTTCAAATAAAATACTTTACTGATTTTCTCACGGATCCCATCATCAGGGGACTACCCCTGTGGTATCACCTTCCTAACAAAAAATAATGGTAAAGAATTATCATTGAATATACATAAAAAAAATATATTTCAAGGAACTGAAAACCTCCTAACAACACAAGCCTATTTATTTGTTCGAAAAACTTTATTTAGGAGCTCTATGGATGACTGTAAAATTAGACGTAATCCCCTTACAATGTTTCGCCATTTATGTGCATTGTTAACAAGTTATAAAAGTAATTTTAAAAAACGGACTCCAAAAATGAAGTTTGATGATTTTCTCATGGATACCATAATCAGATTCTGACCAGATTTATATGAGACTATCCCTGAGGTACCTCGTTTCTAACGAAATCATGGAAATAATTATCGCTCAACATACATAAAAAAAATATTCCAATCAATTGAGAACCTCCTCCTTTTTTTTGAAATTCGTTAAAAAGGTAGTTAACATGTAATGCAATCAAACTATAAATCTTTTAACCTTCTAAATTGGAAAAAAATAGTGGTATTTCTTTATTAGACGAATGATAAAATATTATTTTTTAGCTAGGCAGTAGCCTTTTTATTTCTATTCTGTAGCTACTAAGGTGGCGAAATGTCATTAGCACTCACAATAAAAATGAATGCGAAATATGCATATTTATATTCCCGATCAAAACCCCATAAAGATATCTAATTTTCTGTATCAGAAAAAGTTGTAAAATATCAACTCTATCCTCTCGGCTATTGGCGATTCAAGCTAAGCGATACATATTTTTTTATTTATTTGCTAATAACCAACTAACCTGTGATTCCTCTCAAAGGGTGTATTTGTGTGATTTTTCTCATTCTTATCATTGTAAGTCTCCCGTTTGTCATTCTCCTTCGTCTCTTTTCCATCTGTATTCGTATTATTACTTTCCAAACCGACACCACCACTTTTCAACGAATTAAATCCGCTTGTTCCAGCGCCCGTTCCAGGTTCCTGTAACAAAACATTATTTTTCAATTTCCATATAATTCACAAAAATATATCATAAAGTAGAAAATTTAAATGGCGTCACCATGGTGGTCAAAAGAATCATGACATTACCTGTGAATCGCTGCTGTCATCGTAACTGTCCCTCCTCGTTTCAATGGATTTTGAAGGCGTGCTCAGTTTTTGAGCTCGCTTTTTACGCTTCTCGCTATCATCGTCACTGGCGTCAGATGAGCTGCAAGACGCCGTGCGATTTTTGTGAAATTTTGATCTTCGCCGCTCATAGTTGGGGTTGCAAGTGACAAAGTGTCGTGAGTTTTTTTCTATAATAGAAAAAGAAAGTTATTCATAATAAAGTATTTTAATTGACAAAGTTGAAAATTCTTGTTATAACAGAAAATAAAGAAAAGCCGAACTATGTATTTAGTAAATAACGGATACAAAATACTAATATATCAAGAATTTAGCTTCAATTCTTAATTTTCATAATGGCAACAGTGTCTTTAAAAACTTCAAAATTAATAGAATTACTGTATAACGTTCTGCACACATACCAAAAACAAGTTTAACTAGATAAGTCTATTAAATTCCTGAAGATTTTCCCAGTATTTACAAGATGGGCCATGAACAAAAATTCACATCATTAGCAGCTTTTGTAGCACCTGCATATATTTTGTTTTCACCCTTCAGACCCCCTTGCTGTCACCCTAGTTAGATAGACCTAGATCATTGTTGTAAAAAAAGTGTTCTAAAAAGCTAAGGAACAAACAATATATCAAAAAATAGCACTAGGTTTCGAGAAAACAAGAATACAGATAGAAGAGTAGAGGCAACTAAGAGTAAACATTTTCCAAATGACTCAAAACGGAGAAAACAACCTTCGTATCAAGTAAATCCACAATATCCCAAAAACAAAGTTTACCTACGTAAAAAAGCAAAGAGATGCTTACAAGTTTTGCATCAAAATATACGAAACCTGAAAAATAAAGTTTCTGATATCAAAGCTGACTTGGAAACATTGGATTTTAATCCAGATATACTGTATTTTACTGAACATTGGCGTTGTTCCGAGAAAATTCTGTTTGTGGAGGAGCCTGATATATACTAGTGACAAATTTCAATAGGTTGACGTGGTCGAACATGTTGAAAATCTAAGTGTTGAAGGTGTGATTGAATGTGAATGCATTAAAATCCCTGAAAAAGTAAGTTGTATAATACTTTGTATAGAAAAAGAAATATTTTATTCTCAGTAATACATAATAATATGTAAACATGATTACATAGTCGTCAGTACATGGTATATGAATGGTAAAATAGCTACACCACATTTTACATAATTTAACATACATACTCGTATAAAATTTAAAATAAAATAGGATTTTAAAAGATCATGGTAAGCAATAATAGTAATAAAAAAAATATATAAAAAAATAAAATATTAAAAATATTAGGTGACATGTTTCACTCTTACAAAATAATCGTTAATGTTATATAGACACATGCCCAGTAATATCTTTTTAATTTGATGTTTAAACTTTTTTCCTGGTAGATTACGGATGTGGGGCGGAAATGCCTATGTTCGGGACTTGTTTATTCTAGTTCTCGTTTGGATTAGCTGATTTTTTCCTCTGGTATCGTATGTATGATTCTCTGAGTGACATGTGAAATTTCCCAAATTATTTTTTATGGCTAGCAAGTTTTCAAATACTATTTGCGAAAACAGGGACATTATGCTAAGTTGAGTGATCAGTATGGTTCATAATAATTTATCCTATAAAAAACGGTGTGCCACAGAGTTCCATATTGGGTCCTTTACTCTACATACTATATGTAAAAGAACTATCAGAAGTTAATGAAATTTTAGTACAATATATATATTTTTTTTTTTTTTAGATTTTCTTGACAAAATTATGTGCACATCAGTTTTCAATTCCATTCACTTAACGAAAATCACACCAATAGAAAAAGCTTCTGTGAGCACCACCCAGATCTCAGGACATTATACCTCTGAACTATTTATTATTGAATTATTTAAAATCAGAAGTATACAATGAATAAAATGACAATTTCCTAAACAAACTATTGTCGTATGGAGTACTGTTAGAAATAATTATTAATCGGATTGTATTTATTTTATATTGTTTTTGTTTTTCATGTCTTATTGACTGTTCTATTCATATTATGTTAGTTAGGTTAGGTCAAGTTAGAAATTATTAAAGATTAAGATTTCCTAATTTTATGTAATTTCATTCTTTACTGTTCATACAGGATGTCCCCAGATGGACTGAAAAAGGGAAGGAAAAACTTTATTTTCATCTTTTCGAAAAAAAATGTTATTCTTCATAAAAGTTTTTGCTAAATTCAAAACTAATAATAATCCAAACAGAAGTTGAATATCTATTTGTTTTAATGAAATAATGACAATTTTTAAAAAAATTTTTTTTACTTTTTGTCATTATTTCATTAAAGCAAAAATATATTAAACTTCTGTTTGGATTATTATTAGTTTTAAAACAAGCAAAAACTTTTATGAAGAAAACAGTTTTTCCTCCTTTTTTTCAGTCCATTTGGAGACACATTCTGCAGATATTTAGAAATAAAGACATTTTATTATTATTATTATTATTATTACTAATATATAACTTACCGACATCCACTATTGCAGAGTCGGAGACAGCTGCACTGATTTTCTCTTCCGTCGTCGTAATTATAGGTATAATAGGTTGTACCACCGTTTTAGTTTCGCTTTTCGAAACGCCCAACTGCAACTTATGTTGTTCGGTTCTTTGGCTTCTGTTGCACGTCGATTTTTTGGCACTTGATGGGTACTTCAACTCAGGCGGTTTTCTTTTTTCCGATTCGGCTATACGTTCTTGCAATGTTAAGTTCAAGCGCCCCTCCGAACGCGACCCGCGCCTATTCAGAGTGGGAACAAGATCTTCTCTGACTCCGCAAGAAGATATGTCTTCTTCCTCTTCGTCTTCTTGGACTATGCTACACTTGCGGGATCTCTGAAAATCAAAATTGATAGTCAGAATGTTTCAATTAGAGGTCACTAGAAAATACTATAAAAAAGTTTCGTAGACTAGTTTTCTGATTCCAGTATTCAAGTGTGAAGACAAACATATCAAAAACTATAGAGGAGTTTGTAATCAGTCCTTTATACCAAAAGTGTTTGATAAACTTATTTACTACAGTGGCAATGTAAAACTATATTTCTTAATAACCAACATGGGATCTTAGGGGGAAAATCCGCAACTACTAATTTGGTTTCTCATAAAGTTACTCTGTTGGATTCTATTGAGAGCGATAAACAAGTTGACTGTCTATTCCGACTTTTCTAAGGTGTCTGGCAGAGTTGATCATGAGATACTTTTAATGAAAATGGGGACAATTGGTTTTCATTACAATTTGGTAGTTTGGCTACGTAATTTTTTAAAGGAAAAGTTTGAAATGTTAAAAATTCAAAATCAATAATTTTATCTCAAAACAAATAGCAGTTAGTTCTGGTGTTCCACAAGATGCACATTGTTTGCTTTTGCTCTTTAATTTATTTATTAATGATATAACATCTACCATTAAATACTCCGCTTGCCTTATGTTTATTAATGACATTTATTTTTTACAAATTACAATTTGAAAAATCACAAATTTATATGGTGCCGTAGTACAAAGAAAGACATTATACATGTCATACAGACTAGAAACGTTTAAAAGAACAAAATAGGTTGGTAAAAGGTTAAAAGAGAGAAAATATACAGTAAAATACAGTTTTGAATGATAAAAAGGGAATATTGAGCAGCCTGAAATTATCGTGCAAGTTAGCTAATCTAAGTATTCTTGGAATGCAGCTGTTAAAAGTTGGTATGATCTATAAAAAGGTACATAAAATGTTTGCCGTTGCCTAGTTGAACGAGTTTGAAAAAAAGTTTAATTTTTTCAAGAATTTCAGGACAATTACATCTACTATTTAAAATATTAAATAGCAAAGTAAGGTCTCTATGTTTTCGCCGAGTTTGCAAGGCGGGGATGTTCAGAAATTGTTCCAAGAAATCATATTCACAATAAATACCCATTTTGAAGCATTGTGAGAATTATGCTGAACACTATTTTCTTACTATATGTCATATAGTGTGGAGACCAAACGGAAGAGTTAAGGTGGGGGTCTGATTAGCGAAAAATAAAGAAATTTAATTGAAGCTGTGTCAGTTAAATCATGGGTCAACCTTTTGATAAAACCCAACATTTTCATGGATTTGTAGACAGCAGCAGATGTGTGTTGATTATAACTTAAAGTAGGATCAAGAATAATTCTAAGCTCTTTAATTTGACAAACAGAGTCTAAGATATGCCCTTTTAAATTATAATCAAATGTAGTTGGTAGTAGGTGAGAACAATAAAAACACATATGGAATTTATTGTCATTCAAGTCCATGTCTTTTAGAGAACACAAATCTGATAAATTATCTAGATCAGACTGAAGTCAATGGGCATCATCATGGGTTTTAACAATTTGGAAAATGTTTAGGTCATCTGTTAAGTTACGGAAACAATAAAAGCTTTTTAAAACTGTGGGGAAAATGATACTATCCTATTACAATCAGATTTATATAATTTAGTAAATTGGTGTCAGATGATCAGGCTTTCTTTAAATACTAATAAATGTTCAGTTATAAGCTTCTATAAACGAATTAAAAGGATCTTGGAGTTAATTTTGATTAATTTTTGATTCAAGAAACACACTAATATAATAACTGTCAAAGATCTAAAAATGTAAGGTTTTATAATAAGAAGCTGTAAGGAGTTATAGTATAGTTGTTAAGAACAATATATTGTTCAATGGTTAGGTCACTTTTTGAATATTCTACCATTGTTTGGAATCAACATGAAATTTATATTAATCAATTTAATGTGTACAAAAGGCATTAGTAATTAGTTTAGACTGAATATTAAGCATGATTATTTAGAAAATTTAAAATTACTTAATTTATATGAATTGGAGAAAAGAAGAGTAATGTCAGACTTCACTTTTATGTATAAAGCTGTTGCCTACGGCTTTGCACGCGCGGAGTTATGTTTTTTACATAAAAAAATGCATGACTGCCCAAAAAAGGAGCGATATTGTTTCTAAGGGTTCATGGAATGTATGTGACAGTATTATAGATTAGAGTTAAGTAGAGTAATCTAATATTTAGGTATAGTAATATAATTAAGAATCTCTTTATATATCAAATTTCTAACAGGCGTCATAAAACTGTCCGTAAGAACATCTGTCCTCCCTTAGGCTGTCAAGGCCTGGGGACATCGAGATATATGTCGTTTTTATCAATTAACTACTGTGATGGAAAGGGACGCTGTGTCCGCCATTATGTAAAATAGATTAATTCTTAAGCAACATGGCTTAAATTAATACATTTCCGAGAAAAATGTAAATAATGTAAAGTGTTTTAAAATAAAAGTGTTCAATGTCCAGGTATCCAGATCTTCCAGACCTTATGGATCACACAGGTATTTCAAACTTTCTTATTGATATAGTCCACAAATAGTCACGGGTTAAATCTTGGCCCTATTTTAAATGTGGCGTGATGCGTGATACAACAGTAGAAGCCTGTATATCGGTGTGATCGCCACACCTCATATTTGTCATACCAGTGCATAAAAAGCTTCACTTATTTGTTTTTTATTATTTTTTATGTATTTATTCGCCTTTATTACTATAATCCAAAAGTACAAGACAATACATTTTTTTATCTGCTGCTTTAAAAATATAATTTGTGAAAATTAACAATGGTATTTGTACTCTGCATTTTTTTAAATCGAGATTGGAATGGCTAAAAACATAGCAGGACAATAATTGTACTATTATAATATGCTCTAGATGCAATTGTGACATTTCTCTAGACGCTAGATGAATTACTTTCAGAAAATGGAATATTACCATATTATTTTATCATCCTAGAAGATGTTTTATCGGTTTTTATTCGTTTATTGCTTCAGCTGTATCTTTTATTTCTACACAGCTAAAATTACATTTCGGAAGAAGAGGATCGGTTTTTTACCGATCCAAAAACTGCAGGTGAATTTATTACAAAAATACGGAGTAATGGATTCTATTTTTTTACTTCACAATATTTTAGAATTATTGTCTGAAATGAAATGAATGTAAGCATTTTTCTCTCACCTACTAGCACTGGTGACATCATTTCTAATATATGTGTAATTTATCCAATCATACCAAACCCAGATAGACAAATTCAAAAGAAAAACAAAGTCTATCCAAAGGGGGTGGGTGGCTCAGTGGTAGAGTCTCTGCCTGCGGATCCAAGGGTCCCAGGTTCAAATCCCACCGTCGGCCGGGATTTTTTTATTTAATTTATTTATCTAAAAAAAATTCTGATGCCTTGGTAGGATTCCCCACTCGACCATTCACTGTTGGGTTCTAATTAACAGTGCTGTTCCTAAAGTGGCGCTAGGAAACAGTAACAAAGCCTACACAGAACACGAGGCGAGATCACCTTAGCAGTTGAAGCCGATGACACACAAAAAAAAAGTATCGAAATTTGCGGGAAAATGTAGGGTTCCACATTTATATTAAATATATTGAGGATACTTTTTGTTAAATCGAAGGTACAGTAAAGTAACATTAGATGCATTACAAGTCAATACAGCAACCTGCAAAATTTCATCAATATCATCGTACACGTTTTAATATGTTCTTGGTTCTACAATTTATGCCAACCCTGTACTTTTAATCCAAGAGTTGTTGCTTTTAACCACCAAGAATGTTTGATTACTTCCACATCACTCCCAATACACTTTTCTGACCACTAATTGTTATAGATTTTGCAAAGGTGGTAATTATAACAATATTGATCATGGTGTAAGAGATTTGCTCAGTAAGCAACTTATTTTGGATCTGCAATCCCATAAATAATAATAATTGTTCTTAGTTTTTTAAAGTAAATTGAAGTAAATCGAACAAAATTATTTTATTTTTAATTCAGCATTTTATTTAGTCAAAACATACCTTATTAAACAAATTTAAAAACGATAACAAAATACTGCCGAGTTGCTAATATACAACGAAATTATATTGCTCAATTAAAATGATGAAATAATGTCAGGTCATCAACCGTGTAAGTTTGGTAAATTACGAAAATTTTGCAAGCCGGCAATATTAAAAAAATGAGGCATGGAAATTAAAGAAGATCAATTGTAAACTCGACAGCGAAGAAAGCGAACTCGAAAAGAGAAAGATAGAGAAAATAGGATAACCGTAAAATTAATAAAAGTAATAGCTATTTTGCATAATACTAATATTCCGCAAAACGACAAAGTTTTCGTTGTATTTTGGGAAGAGTGTGACGTGCCCCGAGCATACGAAATGATGTGGTAAGTGTACCAAAACATTATTAACATATTGTAAAATTATTGAGTTGTGGTTGACTTCGAATAAATTATATATTTTGTGTTATTTCCTCAAAGACAACACGGACCGAAAAAGTAAGTTCGTGACAAAATTCACAAATGGAACTTACTAGATGCAAGTCATTTAACCAAATGACCCATCTAATAATCTAATATAAAACCCAATTTTATAGAAATTCGTGTGTCAAACTAATATTAAAAATAAATAAAAAAACAATAAAAAACAATTCTTGTTTCTGCATCTAATTTATTTATATATTTTGATCTTCTATAATAAATTATTGAAATGTTAGATATTTAAAAGGATGTATTTTGTTTATGTGCATATAAATAACCTATAGTTTCGTTGTTTCAGATTCGATAGAAAACAATATTAATAAATATTAATAAGAAAGGAAAAAATCAGTTTAGAATTTAAAAGATTTCCAAATACTACAGGCCATTTCACAAATTATTTACTATCTTATAGCAATGAGGATAGAAACTTATTTAATTGTTGATATTCCACTATGATATAAAAATAGTTCACTCTTCAACTCAATAATTAAAATGGTAGAGGTGGTCCTGCGCAGTAGCAAACATAATCTGGCGTTTTTCCATAATATACTTTACTCGCAGCCTTACATCTTAATTCGTGATCTAAATTACTAAAAGCAATAGTTCTTCGTTGTCTAAAGAACGCTCCGACTAAAGGTGATATCAGAGCCAAACTAACGAACAAAATGCCTATGGGAGCAGGATACTTCAACCATGGAAATCTGCACATGGTACCATTATTTTTCATCCAATCCAAGGCATATGGTGTTAATACCAAAGGAGGAGCCACTTTAAGAATATTGACTAATATATCGAGAGTAACTGATTTATGTGACACGAATTTAGACACACCCAATTTACATCCACAACAGTCGAACACCGGCTTTCCTTCAAACATTTCTTGAGCTCTAATGAATGGAGTACTCACACAATGCGCAGCTGCTACCGCAAAGAACGGCACCAACTTCATCATCAACTTAGTCGCACACTGCGCACGTAAATATCGTTGCAAATAAAAAGCAGTAGAGGCGGAAGCGAGTGAACCAAATAAGAATGAAGTAATTTGTTGTAATGTTGTTGGGTCTGCAGGTGGATTTCTTTGGTTCCTAATGACATTGAGATTAAATGCTTGGTTAATCACTTGGAACGCTATCAAGTGCATTGGATCTTTATAATAAGTTAACATTCCGAAGAATAATAATGTCTTTAATGGAACATAAAACTTCGGCCTTGCAAAAAATTGCACCTTCTGACCCGTGCGGCCGAATGTCGAATCGTATGCAGTTTTCGCTTGCCATATTTGATTGTTTGTTACATGCCAAGGTCTGTATCCATCGACTTCAATGGTATTAATGATATGTCTTGCGCATTTGAAATGGCTCGGTAAATAGAACAGATAGATTGGATTGGTGAGTTGGAATAATTCCATGAAACGACCACTGTACTTATCTTGGTCATATCTCAGTCTTCGTGGATCCGGTAATGTCCAAGTGTATCTCTGTTTGCAACAATAACAGTTTGCCATTTGGTTTTTTATGTACGATTGAGTGTATACATGAATTTCACAAAAATTTTGAATTCTGAAGATACCAAAAAATGTTTGAAAAAAAAGTTGACAGTAACACTGACAGTTTAGATTAATATCTAAAGGCGTTTCATTATTGGTAACTTATTACAATTTTATTGGTTTGAAAAAAACGACGTAATATTTGAACATAGGATTTAAAAAATAGAACGAACTTGTATATTTACAAAAAAAAATCAGTATAGTACAAATCAAAATCAGCTAGATTCGTACATGTCGGAGCGGCAAAAGATAAACTATTGGAGCCTTATTTTTAACCTGTTATACTTGTACAAGTGTGGCGTTGTCAGATGGTGCAAAAATTGTGTTGGTCAATGAAACATGATTGATTAAACAGATAACAGTTAAGTAGGTTTTTCTTTATTCCAGAACGCTTAACGACCTATACGTGCCTATACCATGAAGGCTTATGTCAAGTTAATTATCTAATCAAATATATGACAACATTTTCCAGCACTTTTTTGGCACCGTCATCAAGCGCTCTACTGCAGGTGCGTCTGCAGTATGAAGACTAGATATAAGGAGGCGAATCGGCAATTATCAAATTTTAATTTTCTGTCCTTCTTTTATAAAGTCTGCTAAATTTATTGTGATAGCAATATAAATATATATCACCCAGTATTAGAACTTTTGTTAAAGAAAAATGACATTGATTAAAAAAAAAAGATTGTACTTTTGAAATATAAAAAGTTGTCAGTTAATCCTTTTTTCAATAAACAATATTTTCGTGATCCTGGTGCATAATTAAAAAAACTGTAGTTGGCAGGTAGAACGTCATTGACGTTCATTTCCTTTTTAAGTCAATGTAAAATAAAACGAATTTTTAAAAAATTGGTGAAAAGAATCAAAATAAAGTGAAAAAAGTACCAGAGTACAAGTAACACGAGTGACAAAAAACATTAAAGCAAGATTTACTTCGTTCCACATTGTAAAACAGGATACAAATCACATGTAAAACTAAATAAAACACAAAGAGAAATCAATTCAATGTCTTTTTAAAGCTTCTAATGTAAGTAAAATAATGTATTTATGTCTAAATATAATATTTATTGTAAACTAGTCACAACACGTATCAAGGAGTGTAGTCTATTTTATTACAAGTTTCTATAAAATAAAATTTTAGTCATAGATCCTGACTTACAAACAACAAAATTATACATTAAATTTAACTTACTAGAAAATAAAATTTGTTTTTTTATAGTTTTACTGTTAGATAAAAAGTTGCGAATGTTATTTTTTGTTGGACCCCTTTTTGTCATTGTAAATGTTTTTTATAGGTTCCTAAACGCTTAGAACTAAACGCTTAGAACAGTGGCATATATATCGTTGCTAGGGTCGATAAAGCACATTCTAGAGCTGATGTGTTCTACTCTTTTTAGAAAATATTATGAGACTCTTTTTACTGATGGTACTGTTAGCAAAATAAAAAGGGGAAATCCGAAATTAAAGGATGTGGCAATATCATGTACATTCATAAATCTCCCTTTATGCTTGTATTATAACAATAAAAAATCTTTTAACTGTGTTTTATTTTGCTCTTAAAACTATATTTAAGTATAATTCAAAAAAATTTAGACACTAAATTTGTATTTACCAAATTTCACCATTTAACAAATATTTTCGAATTGGGTCATATCTACCTAAATTGCATTTTATATAGATAACATTAAATAATTTATCAATTAAAACATGCGAGACCTATTTAGAAATAAATACAACAGTATATTTTGTATTTTATTTGGCAATAAACAAGTTTATTTTTATTATTTTGACAAATTTATGTAAAACAGCGGTACTAGCACCAGCGTGCTTGCGGTGAATTAAAAAAGCTCAATTAGCGTTCGTTTTTTGGGACCGTTTTTCAAATTTGCCGATTCGCCTCCTTATCTCTAGTCTTCAGCAAAGTATTTTCATCTTTGACAAGAAAGAACGAAAAATTTGTAATTTTCCTTGCCCTACCATTACCTAAGCCTTTTTTATGTAATCATCTCATTTTGAATTAGAGAATTTAGAGTTACAGGACACTACGTATATTATTTGGACACTAAGCTCCAGTACATAGGAAATATATTTTAAAGTTAGTTTAAATATTCAGTTCAATAAACGACAATTATTTATTTATTTTTTTTTTTAATTTGATGTCATCGGCGTCGACTACTACGGCCATTAGCCTAATTATTATTATTAATATTGTAAAACATTTGTTAATGTTAAATTTGCTTGTGAATTTAGATGTAAATATTGTTACGCAGCACCCTGCAGTAGCCTGCGGCTATTATAGGAAACATACAGATAGAAAAAGAAGTGGAATGTTACTCATCGCCCTACAGTGTGCTGCCGTCCTCATAACTAAAAATACAAGTAAAAGAAGATAGAATAGTCCAGAAATATAGAGAAATGTCATTACCCGTCAAGAATATTCTAGACGACAGTTCGAGAAGGGTCAAGCAAGTTATATAAGGATGATCCTGACGTCAGTTTTCAATTTTATGATAGACATTACATGTTAATGTTATAAATAAATTGCGATACCAAAAACCTGTGTAACAATATATTTATAAATTACGGATTGATTTTTTTACTAGTCCTTCCCTGATCTTTGGTCCTTAACTCAGTTTCTTGCAAATTGTTTCGTAGTTTTGATTAAATTTTGTAGAAAAGTTTTCCTGCGACGTGCTGTTTTTGAGTAAAATATTAATTCTAGTTACCATTTATTACTGGCATTGCCTACTGAATATCAATAAACTATCTTAAGTGGTTCCAAAAATATTACAAAATTTAAAAAAAAAACTTTAGCACTCCGTATTTTCGTAACCGAACATTTTGGACCATACTTTATAAATAAACTATAATTCATTTTTCATGTAGATTTACTCACTTAAATATTTGCATATCATTAAGGAACACTTTGTATAATCAAACGATATCTATGTTATCATAATCAGCAATTTTTTATAAAAAAAATACAGTCGAGAGATTTTGGCGTGTTAAGAATTAGAAAAATGCGTTAAAGTTTTCAATATTTTTGTTTTGGGTACAAAAAAAAATAACAATTGAATTGAGGTAAAAACTGTTTTTCTATTGTGACATTTCTTATATCATGTAAATGATCTTTCAGGATAAATAAACTATCTATTTACCTACCTACCTATCTTAGAAATCAAGGAGTAGCATTATAAAGTTAAAGAATAGAAAATCACAAATTTTATCGTTTTTTAGTCATATCTTTTGTCTCAAGCAACTGAAAGTGTTCTAATTTTTCATTTTATATGCAAAAATACTTTATTAATAATATAGAGGTCCCCTTTGGTTACACTCCATTCTATAACGATACCTATCAATGTTATGTATAGTAGGACAAACCGCCCTGAAAGCAGTTGCTCATTGTTAAATACAGTCGCAACAAACCGATTAAAAATTGGTGGTTTTTTTATAATAATATATATTTATTATGAACTTACTTGTGGTACATCACCTGGAGTTCGAGGAACATTTAACAAATTTGGCTTGATGCTCATCGAATCATCTTTTTTGACATTCTGAGTATTTTGGAACACTGGTAATTCTTCTGGCCTTTTATTTTTCGCTGCCTGTTCTTGCCTTTTGTACCTTAATTTTCTCTCAGCAAGAAGATAATATGTGGCCGTTATGTGATTGTACTCGTTTTTATCTAGAGATCTAAAACAAAGTATATACAGTATGTCCCCCTAAGTTGGAATCATATGGAAAACTTTTTTATTATTAATTTTAGGGAAAAAAGTTATTTTTCATAAAAAGTTCTGCATTATCTAAAAGCTAGAATACAGTCATCAAATATCAAATTTTTTCAGTGGTATACGAGGTTTGTCAAAAAATATGACTTATGAGTTAAAGTACCTTTATTCTTTATAGGACTAATAAAATTTGATATTTGATGGTTGTATTTTAGGTTTTTGGACCATGCTCGATTTTTTATAAAGAATAACTTTTTTTCCTAAAATTAGTCATAAAAAAGCTTTCCTATGCCACCAACTGTCTACGTAAATTGGCGGCATATGAAAATCTTTTTTATTAGTAATATTGGGAAAAAAGTTATTCTTTATAAAAAGTCGAGCATGGTCTAACACCTAAAATACAACCATCAGATATCAAATTTTATCAGTCGTATAAAGAATAAAGGTACTTTACTCTTGTGTAAAGCTCATTTTTTGACAAACCTCGTATACCACTAAAAAAATTTGATATTTGATGACTGTATTCTAGGTTTTAGATAATGCAGAACTTTTTATGAAGAATAACTTTTTTCCTAAAATTAATAATAAAAAAGTTTTCCATATGATTCCAACATATTGTTGTTTATAACCAAGCTTGAAAAACAGGAGAAATTGAAACTACCATGAGAATTATGTCACATAATTGATTTGGATGTCTTTAAATAGTGCCGGACGACCCATTTGTTTTTCTGATATCTATTTCAGCATACGAGTTGTCTTCAAAATTTGTTTTTCAGAAAAATTGAAAATGGTTTTTTATCAAGAAGTATCGTTAAGTGTTTTAAAAAAAAACATCTATTTTTTCACTCCTTTTTTGTAGTTACATAAACATTTTAAAACCCTAGAAACATGAAATGGATTGAACTTAAAAGACTCTTAAAAATTCACATACCCGTTAAATATTGGGATATAGAGTAAGCATAAGTTATTTAAGGCAAAATATGAGAATGAGACCAACTATGCTTCAAGAAAATGTTGCTGTGAAAAAAGATACTGGGTGTTAAAGTTAAACTATTTTTTTCTTTTTTTTTTTGTATATATATACATATTTACAAAGGGGTATAACTTTTTTTGACAAGCTATTTCATTTTATTTATTTATGAATTTAGACCATCTTTTTCTTTTGACGAAACTTGGTGATTTTGATTAGAAAAAAATATTAAATATCACTCACTCTTGGATTTCTTCCTTGGTAGCCACATTCCCATTAACAATTTTCTGGACAATAAAGTTATGGTCCTCTTCCAAAAGTTGTTCCCTAGAAACTAAAGGTGCTGAGTCAACATTTACGGTTTTACTACTGCCAAGCCAAGGATGGTTTGATATTTCGGCGAGGGTGGCTCGTTTTTCAGGATTCCTTAACAACATTCTTGATATTAATCTGAAATAAAGTTAATTGAAGAATCATAACGGGCATTTTAAATCAAGGTATGTTCGTGACTTACTTTTGACAATTCTGAGAAACATGAGAAGGAATATCATATTTGCAATCCATTATCATGGTGAGAGTTTCAGAATCATTGGCTTCTTGGAATGGGGGTTGACCACAAACTAACATATATAAAATTACTCCTAATGACCAAACATCTAAAACATACATTCGTTAATAGATAATGTAATTATAAAATGCCACTAAACATAAGTGATTTTATCATAGTCTACTTTAGAAACGTTTTTAATGGATTACTCCATATAACTAAAATAATTAACATACCAACAGCTGGTGCATCATATGAATCTCCTAAAAGTATCTCAGGTGCGGAATAAGCTAAACTACCACAGGAAGTTTCTAATTTTTGACCAGGATAAAATTTATTGCTAAAACCGAAATCTGTCAATTTTACAATGCCCTGCTTCTTGAAGAATACAACATTCTCGGGTTTCAGGTCCCTGTGTACAACATGCAATTGATGGCAGTACGATATCGCCCTAACAATTTGACTAAAATATTCTTTGGCATCTTTTTCAGGCAGTCCGCTGTCGTGTCGCATTATGTATTCATAGAGGTCGCCGCCGTCTCCTAGTTCGAGCACCAAGTAAAGTTTAGTTGCTGTGTCTATGACTTCATAAAGACGAACTACGTTTGGATGCTGAACTAATTTCATACAGCGAACCTAAAACAAATGATTAGCCTGTAAAAATTGATTATGGTACATTTATAAACATGCATGGAGAGGGAACAAAATCCAGGGCGACCGAGAGGAAAATAGGTATAATTTTAATGAAGAAAAACACTGGATTATGTGTAAAGTCAATCTAAATGGCCTACTCAAAAAGTAGCCTGTAAATAATTGATTTGTTTGTATCATTCTATGAGGGAAACAATAATGTTAAGATCCATGTGCACACAATCACTGAACACCCTGTAGAGAAGCGATATTGTTATTCAAGCATAAAGAAACAAAAAAAAAATATTATTTTCTCATGTTAGAAATTCGTTTTTATCAATAACATGTAACGTAATATAATTATCATTTTCATTATATATACTATCCAATTTCAAATGGTCAATAATATATAATATCTAAGTCAATAATAATTGTATTGAAACTAAAATTAATTTATTTGTTTATACACTTACTATTGTTACTCTTAATTTAAAAACCTCATGATCAATTATTATCAGATAACATTATTGATTTTAATGTGAAATATTTCACACATTCAATATCAATAATTGTAGATAAATAGAGAATGATTATAAAAAAAATACATTTAATAAACAACTATTTAAGCAAAATATTCGAAATAGCACATTTCAATACAATTATTTAAAAAATCAAACTTTTAACGTTATTTAATGAAGCAAATACATCATCCACAACATATTAAAAAAAAAATTAAAGAATAATCTACTCTCACAGCAATTTTTAATTCTTTAAATTTTACTTTTCAACTATTTTTAAATTAATACATTTATTATATTTTGTTTCTATTTTTTTTTTATTTCATATCTAGTTTTATATTTCGAACTTTATTATTATTATTATTATTATTATTATTTTGAAATTTAGTTAATGATAAAATCAGTTAAAATCTAATTTTCTTTATTATTTTATTGCAAGCATTATGATTCTGTTTATATTTTTAGGTTAAGTGTAAGAATAGCTTGTAGCTAAACTGCGCCTCTTTGTACAATTTATTAATAAAGACGATTTAATGTTATTATTACTTACCTCCTGAAAAAGGTGTGCTTTGGAGACTTCGTCCAATTTGCTCTTATCAATGACCTTAACGGCCACCTTTTCTCCAGTGAAAACATGTCTAGCAAGTTTGACAACCGCAAAATGTCCCCGTCCCAAAGTTTCCTCCAAATCATATAAACCAGCTATTTTACCATCGTACTGTTTCGACACATAATTTGAGCTAACCTCTTGACTGTTTCCCTTGCTAGCTAGCCGAAGATTTCTGTTCATATTACCTATAAAAAAAATTTTTGATTAGTAGGGTGGTTATTGAAATAATTTAACGTAAAACGGAGGGATAAACCACCTTTGAATTATAGTGTATACATTGATGGAATTCCAGTGGAAGTATGTGGAAGTCCATGAAATTCCAGTGGAAGTCTGTAAAAATATACATGGCGCATGCATCTTGTCTTGCAATACCCACATAATTTTTCACCTCCACATGTAATTGTAATTGACCGTTTAGATGAGTTACTTAAGAAAATACAAATACCCATGAATGAGTCTGAGACTGTGGAACACATTAAATTTATTGTGATTAGATTCCAAACTAAATTTTAACAACCAAATTGACTCTCTGTAAAAAACTTAATAAACTCTACTTTGATTTCAATAGTTTGAAATCAAATTTTTATCAATCTCACCTACTTAACTTGTATTATGCATTTATATACTCTGCCATTAGCTGCAATATAATTGTGTGGGGTCAGGCAATAGAAATTGGACAAATATTCATCCTTCAAAAGCGATTCATTTGCCTAATTTTTAACTTGTAGATACATTTAAAAAGAATAACATAATGACCTGCACATGCATCTATCTTTTCAAACTGTTCACCTACACTTTTCTTAATAAGAATATAAGTTTCAAAAAAATAGTCCATAAGTCCATAATTACAACACGAGAAATAAAAGTGATATCCACCTAAACAGATTCAATCGATTTTAACTAAAAAAAGTCTCCAATGTATGCTGGAGGACAGTTTTTCAATTTGCTACGAGATTCAATCAAATAAATAAGACAATTTAACAAATTCAGGACCAGTTTAAAGTTGTTTTTATCTGAAAATTATTTTTATTCTCTAGACGAATTTATTGGCTGGAACAATAACACCTAATTTTAAACTTTATCAGTCTCGTAATTTTATTTTGTACTAAATGTTTGTTTAACCATTAATGTTTTTATTAAGATAATTTTTAGCTTATTATTTAACAACTTATTGTACCATATGAGTATACTATGTTTGTGACTTGTCTTATGTCATGTAAATGATACAAGAAGATCAATAAATTTATCTATACATCTTTAATTTTACAATACTGTAACCCTACAATATGGATTCAGGTTATTGTTTTAAACATGCAGTCAAATTTAAGTTTAATCACAAGTGTTCTATCTATTATTATATTTCTCCTATTACTACTAAGGATTATCGTATTTCAGGCCTGAAGATGGTCCTGTGAGGCCGAAACTAGTCACTCTTGTATTTAAATTTAATAAAATTTATGTGGTACTGATTTTAAGGTTTTATTCTTTGATTGAGTAAACTGACCACATTTGAGATATGGTTAATGTATCATTCTCAAGGAAATTAGATTATTTCTCTAATATTTGAAGTTAAACGAACATCTGGATGATTTATAACATAACACACAAGTTTTTCCTAAATATAATTATATGAGGGCTGCTTATTTACATTAAACCTAAGATTCCACACAGTGTTAGAAATAAAAAAGTCTGTAATGTTATATATCACTCTACATAGTGAGACAATTAAAAATGATTAATAGATGAAGGTGTATCTAAATATTCTAAATTATGTAAAATTAAATAATCGTTATACTCTGGAGAGCATGGTGACAATATGTATTCCTTTGACCTTGTTGTCTCCATTTGAAATTTAGTTTCTACTTTTAAACAGTAGATTCTTTTTTTTTGTATTGTTATTAATATTAATAACGTATATTATCAGTCTAATTAAAAAAACATGCTTGGTAACTTTTGTATATAAAGGCAATCCTGTTTTCAAATGCTTTTACGATTCATAAAATTTTAAAAGTAATCCTATTATTTTTTACATTAGTTAATTCACAACGATATCGATTTTATTTTACTATGTTAAATAAAAATGATTTTAAATTATCGCTAACAAAGGCATATTAAAGGTACAAAGGAAATAGGTTTCAGAGTAATTGCCATTACCTTTTCACATACCCATTTATCCAAAACACATTAATAACCCTCAAAAAAGTGTAGTAATAAAATTAGAGTTTTCTTAATAGCTATTTATGCAAACAGTTACGAAATGTCTTATTTTATGTAATGAGTGAATATTTGCAGGCGAGGCATTTCCTAACTTGTTTTGATTTTTGATCTAGATTATTTTATAAAATTGTGTTTTGGTAAAACATTACTGAGATCTAGGCAACTAATATTTCTTTCTTATATTGTTAGTTGCATTTTATTGACATAGATCATCATATTATTTATTTTCAACGAATTGTAGTGTGTTTTAATTATTTTGTGCTGATTTCGAAAATAAGGACCAAAATAACATTATTACTAGGTTGTAACGTTAACCAAATTCTATTTTTATAAGCCAACCTGCTCTTCTTTGATATAAACTTTCAATATCAATGTATATATTGATTTTGAAACCAAACAAAGGTTTATTTTTATTTGTAGAATAATTTGAAAATTCGGTAACAAATCTCAAAAATTCGTCTACGAATTATGAAAACCATCTCTGATCCCCAAAGGTGCAAACACATAGTTGGAGACTTGAAAACAAGTCTGTTGCCGCTGTGATTTGAACCCAGACATCTTTGTTCTGTACACAAATGCCCTTACCGCTAGACCATGATGACATTGACTGTCGAGATCCTTAGACGTCAATTTGATGTGCTAATTCGGGACAAGCGCCGTTTCAGGCTCGTCCTCAAATCTTCAAATACCTCTATACAGCTTCAGTATATATGAGAAATGCATTGATGCATACTGAGCCCATATCTCTGTCTGCAGGAGTTAAATTTTTAATGTACGTAAAGTGACATACCTCAGGTTTATGGTATGTCTTTAGATGAATACAATCTTGAAAATAAAATGTAAGTTGAAACATATCCTATAATCTTATTTCTTGCTTTAAAAAAATTGATGTACAAAAAAAAATGTTTCTAAAGTGTACAATTCTTTTTCTTCTTTTTATGAGCCAGTTTGGATTTAATTCAGAGCCGCGCGTAGTTATCATGGACATGAACTCGTAACTTTATCTTTGTTGATCATGGCCTACTTAAGAAGAAACATTTTTTTGGAATAGTGTTTAATAATATACCTATAAGGAACTATTTTTTTTTTCTTTAAATAGAATAGAAATAACAGTAAATACAATGAAACAAATTATCATCAAACATATTAAATTAAACTAATTTATTTTTAACTTTTAGATCTCCTACTTTGCCACTAAAATGAGCTCCTTTAAGCAAATAGTCTTCCTAGTACCATATTATTTATAAACACAAGTGTTTATAAAATCATCTGAAAGTGTTTTAATCATTCTCTTAACATTATTATGCAACTAGGTTTTAGTTTTGATATTCAATAATATGTAACTTTAATTAACATACATTGAATTTATTTATTGACATCAAACACTTAATCTATTGATTATTTAATAAATTGAAAGTTTTACCATTCTATGACCTTGAATATCAGAAAATAGTTCTTTTTATTTTAATTGGATTGAGTACACTCTGGAATGTTACTTTAGGAAATGAAATGCAAAATAACCATAACAGTACATGTCTAATATAACAATATTTTATGGTAGAATGTCTAAAATATAGATTAATAAAAATGTAGATAATAATCAAAATTAAAAAGCATTTATTGATAAATGGAATTAATAAAGCTAGGTACTTAATAATTTACAGAGAATCAGATACCTAACTAGAAAATAGTTATAATTAATATGATTAAAAAAAAATCTTTTTGATATACATTCTTAATTTAGAAAATAGTTATAATTAATATGATTAAAGAAAAATCTTTTTGATATACATTCTTAATTTATGGGTAAAAAGATTTTTCGCTTGGTATAATTTAAAATTATTTAATTTGGTAATGTAATATAAAACAATTTGTCGACTTTTATCTTGGTAGATGTAGCATGAAGAAAGTCATAAGATTTTATGATTTAAAAACAAGTGTAAAAGTAATTAAAAGACCATTTAACAAATCTAATGATGTGCACTAAAAATATTATTGTTTTAGATATATTTTTAGTAATAATACTAAAAAAAAATATATGTATATTTTCTGAACAATAACTGCAAACTAGTTTGGCTAAAACATAGAAAAACAAAGAAATACAGATTGTCCTATAATTAATTGTATATTATAGACTAATAGTAGAATTCTGAACTAAAAATATGCCTGATAAACTTTACAGAAAAACATGTTGATAGATAAACTGAATGCACCAAGTTAGTATTTTTGTTATATTTGTGCAATGTTTTTGTCAGATTTATATAGATTGCACAGTGCTTTTGTCCAAAAAATAATTAAAAAAGAATTTACATATAAAAATGGAAGTGATTTTGAATAATTGTGACAATAGGTTCATAAAATTGTCAAATACAAAAGCAAAACATTAAATAATGAAATTTATCATATTATTAATCCCCTAAATGAAAAATCAGAGAGAAATAAATTAAAATCGTTAAGATCTAATCTTATTGTTCCTCATATTTTAGAAAAATAAATAATAATCATCGAGTTAATAAATCCGGATTACTGCTTATTTTTCTAATAATTTAAGGACCTTGTTTAGGAACTCTTAAAAATCCTTCAGAATGTACTTATTGATTATTCTTAGAAATTATCTACATCTATCACTAAGGTATGTATAATGTTATGTATGATGTTAGGAGAGAACTTAACTTTAATCCTATATAAGATAAAATATAATATTGTAGGTGCCACAATATTTGAATGAGTTTGTAAGTAAAATATCTAATATTCACAATTATTATCCTACAAGGTCAGCAGATAATTATAATATTAAATATATATACTATGTAGATACATAAAAAATATCTTAGTTTTATTTAAAATACTAAAAAATTATTCTTATGTCCCTACTTGCTATTTTCAATTGGATTTTCTGTACTTACAATGTAAAAACTAGAAATCTAATATATTCTTCTAAGCATTTTAAAGAATAAAGTTACAAGATCTGCTAATAGACAAAACAAATAATTCATTATTCTTTAACACAATATTTACTATTATTCAGAATTTAATTATTTTTTACTGTTATAATAATATGTACTTCCCTATAATTGTACTAGGTATATTTTATTGGGGTCTGATCCGTAATTAAATAAAACAACAATTTCTTTTTCACAGGTGAAGGTAGTCCTGTAATAAACCCTTAATTACTGATAGTACTTCCAAAAAGACAATCTTACAAACATAACACATTGTTTTTTGCAATTATGGTATTCATTTTCTTAGTCCAATTTTTTGTAGACTATTAAATTTGTACAAAACTGATATAATCCAACAATAATAAAGTACAGAACTTCTACATAGGTACCCTTAGTTAAAAAAAAATTCTCAACTTTTTAAATTTACGGAACATTTAAAATTCCTTACTATGAATCTTCAATTGATATTTCGTTAGATATATGTATATTATGCACTATAATTACAAAAAAAAAAAATAGGATAATCTTTCCCTGGGAAATTTTCAGCTAAACTGGGGTGAATTCCAAAGGCTGTATTTTAGTCAATAGATATTATAACTTAAGCTCATTTCGCAAAATATCAATTAAATAATTTCATTTATCTTTAACAAAAATAACAATTAAATAACTTACCACTTATAAATATTTAGAAATTTGACATGGGTAGGTACCTCCTATCTAACTTCCACACACAGTTTTAAAACATTGTTGTGTTGTTGATATCTGCAAAGAATCAACAGAGTTTTGCACATTTTTCGTTTAGATTATTATGGAGAAATATTCACAATATTAACATTAGGATTAGTCAAAAATAATTATTTTACAAAAGATTAAAAGTTAAAGTCGACCAGTTGACGATCTACAAAAAGCAAATGGCAGTTGACAATTGACATAATCATAATAGTCACGTAAAGTTGACATTTCATTCATATTTTCGATTCATATACCTTTAATAATCGATTCAACAATTAAATTAATCTTTTTGTTATGTATGTAGTTATAAGGAAAATTTAAAACAATGAAATTATATGATTTTTTTTTATTTTGATGAAGAACAACTCTAGATGGTTTCTTTGACTGACGGTTTTAAACAAATAAAAAAAAAATAGAAAAAAAATTTCGATTTGAGATAAATAAATCGAATAAAAATTGACAATTTGACCTTTATTTTGACAGCAAAACCGCAATCAAAAAGAAGTGGGAGGAGGACAGAGGACAGGTGAAAGCTCTAAACTGCAGCCCTAAAAAGTAAATTGCAAAAAAAACTCATGAAACCACTTAAAAAAATTGCTATGTTCTTGCTTTGTTAACATGGGATTTGAACTCAATAGATTTCAAGGAGAAGTAGACGAAGAATTAGTATGTCCTATATGTTCGGAAGTTTTAGAAGACCCTATTCAGGTTTGACACCTTATTTAGCAATGAATTTTTTTGCATATATTACAATATGAATTTATCTTTGAGCACTGTTTTTTTGACACCACAGTTAAAACAAATAATGATTCAGTCAATTTATATATTACTATTTTTAGGCCCCTGTTTGTGAACATACTTTCTGCAAAACTTGTATAACAGAATGGATCTCAAGACAACCCACTTGTCCAGTTGACAGACAAATTTTAACGTCCCCACAGCTGCGCCAAGTGCCAAGAATTATAAGAAATTTACTTTCAAGGTACTGTTTACAATTCAATTTTCTTTAGGTACTTTCTTTTAGAAATAGAAAGTCATTGTTTTTTAAACAGTTTTTTTACTTATTAATTAATGGGGAATCCCATTACAAAAGGAAGACATAAGTAAGGTTCCTATAAATAGTGTAAACTGTGTAAAGCTCTCGCTAAACCCTTTTTGCCCCTTATATTTTTTTTCTAGGTAGTATTTAATTCTTCAAGTAACTCTGCAGTAATAACTGGTTTCATATATGCCACCATCATACTATTTATTGTAATTTAAAAAATATTAGAATTGATAAATTTGAAGGTAGGGAACTTGTTTCATGTTGTAAAGGACTGTAGGACTGGCAGATAATCATTAATAAGAAAAGTGGTGCTCAGTTCCAAAAGGAGAAGGCACTGAAAGACGAATAATAATCCAGAACTATTTTGGAAAGAGGGAAAACAGATGTCTTTAGGAAATTAAAATAATTATGGTCATGTGCCTATAATAATAAAAAAAATCAGAAACAAAATCTTCTCAAATCTTGTCCTATAGTATGGATACTTCAATAATATTTTTGTTTTAAACTTAACTTAGTTACACATTTTCTAATTTTTTTTTTTAATAAGCAAGCTTTTTTTAAAGCTTTTATGATTTGGAATTCGATGGAATTTTTGTTACATTCTGTAAATGAAGTCAATCTGTTAGCCAATAAATTTTGGGTTTATTTTCTTTTTTTTTTAGTCATTAGTCATCCCTTGATATTGTCTAAAACAAACTTATAACAATAATTTTTTTATTGAACAAATGGGCACTAACACTGTCAAATGACAAGAAATATTAAGTATATATATTGTAATGATAACACCCTATATTATAATATAACAATAAAACTAAAAATAATACTACTAATAATAATAACTATAATATAATAATAATAGTAGTAATAAATAAAAAATAATGTTACAACCCTGTATATTAAAATTTATATGAAAAGTAATAAGTGAAGGAGACTTTGAGAAGGTAGAAAGGATGGTTTCGAGGTGGGTTGTTGAATGTCAATTTTGATTTTTAAAAAATGTCAGTAGTAATTTTGGAAAATAAATTGAATTGTAAATTAAAAGAATATACAAACAATTAAATAAGCAGAACTTAGAAGTTACGTTGTAAAATATAAAAGGAACTATAAATAGATACAGAAAAAAAGGAGAGTACATAAAAAAAAAGAGGTGGAGATGGATGTAGACCAGGAGTCCAAGGAAAAGTAAAGAATAGTAGAACCAAGACTGTGAGTACGCCATAATATATAAACATTTTATTTTGTGCGTTTTGACTGATAAATATTTAAAAAAAAATGGAATAAAAGGTATCTAACAATTTGTTCGTTAGGAAATTGGACAATTCTGAAATTAGATGTAAATTTAGTTAATTTTCATAAATGTCTAAGTGATAGATTATAGTTATTGGATTTTGTAAATTTTGACAATTCCAATTTTTTAGTAGGTGTAGTAGGGTCGTTTATATGTTATTTTCTTCAAGATATGGAATATCTGATTTGTTCAATGTTTTCTATAATGTTGTGTGGAAATTAAACTATAAGTTGATTTTTATAAGAGTTTTGTTTATTTAAGCGTTTATTTTTCACAATATAACAAAAGACAGGTACTTATAAAATTTCTTCATCTACGAGAACTTTTGCATAATTCCAATAAATAGATTCTACAAAAGATTAAAATATAATTAAAATATAATTAAAATATAATTAAAATATAATTAAAATATAATTAAAATATAATTAAAATATAATTAAAATATAATTAAAATATAATTAAAATATAATTAAAATAATATTAAAATAAAATTTAAATAAAATTGAAACAAAATTGAAATAGAATTCATATAAGATTAAACAAAATAAAACAGTATTAATATTATAATTTGGAAGCACCCCTGAGATAAAAAAAAAAAATAAAAATAGAAAAAAAAAAATAAAAAAAAATTATACTTTAATTAAAATAAAATTGAAAATGGTATTCAGGTGCGATATCATAACAAATGGCGCCCAACGTGGGGCTATAAAGCTGTCAAACTGACAAGTGTGGGAATAAAATCAAGGAGTGATAATAGTGTTGACTATAACATAAAAAATAAACTTTATTATTATGGAAAAGATGGAAGAAAGCAATAAAGAAAAAAATGAAGAGAAACAAAAAGAAGAAGAAGAAGAAGAAGAAAGAAGAAAAAGAATTACAATAGGAAAAGAAAGTAGTAAGATTGAAGATATGAGTATCAGAAATGTTCAGAGCGATGATGGGAAACATGAATAAAATGGGAGAAAACAAATAAAATGGGAGAAAAGATGAATAAAATGGCAGAAAAGATGAATAAAATGGAGAAAAATATTCAAAAAATAGATGACATAAAAGAAGATATGAAAGATTTAAAACCAGTAAAAAAAGAAATGGTTATGAAATTAGAAGAATTCAAGATAGATTTAGAAGATAAAGAAGAAACAAAGAAGAAAATAAAAGAAATAGATATAGAAGATATTAAAAAGGACGTAAAAATAACAGAGGTTGAAAATTTGCAAGAGAAAAGATTTGAAGTATTTGAAAGAAAAGAAACAGAATTTAAAGGAGAAATAAGAGAAGAAATAAAGGAAATAGAATTAAATAGACAGGATGATGTAGAAAGGATGATTAGTTTAGAAAATAAATGGATAAATACTATTACAAAAATCGATACTAAAATGGAACAGAATGTAAAAGAAATTGAACAAAGGATTATTAAAGGAAATAAGATGGGAACAAGATTTATTAAAAACAAAAGGAGAAATAAAAATAAAGAAAAAATAATTCTAAAATAATATGGGAAAAAGTAGGAAGATTAAGAAGAAAAATTAAAAATAGAATTTTGTCTGAAAAGGAAAAGACGAGAAATAAATTTAAAGAGAAGCAGAGATGTTAAAACAAAAGGACAATGAAAAAGGAATATATGACTAGGATAAGAAAAGGACTATGAGCTTACGAAACAACTAAAAATTAATTAATATTTAGAATTATTGGATTAGTGAATTTAGAGGTAATAAATTAAAGAATTTGGGAAGTTGTAATGATAACATCCTATATTATAATATAACAATAAAACTAAAAATAATACTACTAATAATAATAACTATAATATAATAATAATAGTAGTAATAAATAAAAAATAATGTTACAACCCTGTATATTAAAATTTATATGAAAAGTAATAAGTGAAGGAGACTTTGAGAAGGTAGAAAGGATGGTTTCGAGGTGGGTTGTTGAATGTCAATTTTGATTTTTAAAAAATGTCAGTAGTAATTTTGGAAAATAAATTGAATTGTAAATTAAAAGAATATACAAACAATTAAATAAGCAAAACTTAGAAGTTACGTTGTAAAATATAAAAGGAACTATAAATAGATACAGAAAAAAAGGAGAGTACATAAAAAAAAAGAGGTGGAGATGGATGTAGACCAGGAGTCCAAGGAAAAGTAAAGAATAGTAGAACCAAGACTGTGAGTACGCCATAATATATAAACATTTTATTTTGTGCGTTTTGACTGATAAATATTAAAAAAAAATGGAATAAAAGGTATCTAACAATTTGTTCGTTAGGAAATTGGACAATTCTGAAATTAGATGTAAATTTAGTTAATTTTCATAAATGTCTAAGTGATAGATTATAGTTATTGGATTTTGTAAATTTTGACAATTCCAATTTTTTAGTAGGTGTAGTAGGGTCGTTTATAAGTTATTTTCTTCAAGATATGGAATATCTGATTTGTTCAATGTTTTCTATAATGTTGTGTGGAAATTAAACTATAAGTTGATTTTTATAAGAGTTTTGTTTATTTAAGCGTTTATTTTTCACAATATAACAAAAGACAGGTACTTATAAAATTTCTTCATCTACGAGAACTTTTGCATAATTCCAATAAATAGATTCTACAAAAGATTAAAATATAAATAAAATATAATTAAAATATAATTAAAATATAATTAAAATATAATTAAAATATAATTAAAATATAATTAAAATAATATTAAAATAAAATTTAAATAAAATTAAAACAAAATTGAAATAGAATTCATATAAGATTAAACAAAATAAAACAGTATTAATATTATAATTTGGAAGCACCCCTGAGATAAAAAAAAAAATAAAAATAGAAAAAAAAATAAAAAAAAATTATACTTTAATTAAAATAAAATTGAAAATGGTATTCAGGTGCGATATCATTTCAATATATATATATATATATATATATATATATATATATATATATATTTTTTTTTTCATTATTATAAAATGCTTTTCGATTGCTTATTGTTGAATGAACCTCCTTTTTCAGACTATGTCTAACTTGTGATAATGCCCAATATGGGTGCACCCGTGTGCTAAAACTGGATGCTCTACCCGCACATTTAGAAGAATGTGAACACAACCCTAAGCGACCTTTGCCCTGCGAACAAGGCTGCGGTCTAATCATACCCAAGGATGAATTGAAGGATCACAATTGCGTCAAGGAATTGAGAGCTCTAATTCACACACAACAACAGAAACTCAACGAGTTTCAACAGGAAATCAATGAACAAAGATTTCTGTTAGCTGAACAAAGAAGAGAGATGCAACTACTTAAGGTATAAATATGCAAAGATTCTTTTTTTTTTCTTTTCTTATTGCAGCTGATACAGTAAGAAGATATTCTAAAGATATCTAAGTTTTAACATAATTTATTGTAAGTGGGCTTTTTAGAAGAGAGCAGTAATAGCTTCACTCATTGTTATTTGCTGCTCCTTAGCAAATAGACATAACATAAACTTAATGAATATATTTTTGGTTAGTTGTGTCAACTGTCACAAACAAATATAAATAATTTGCAGTTCATTAATACTGACGTTTATAGATTGCTCATTTAAGCTATTTTAAATAAATTTTTATATAATTAAGGGATAGTAATTAGTATGTTAAATAAACACCATAAACCTTTTGTTATTATATAAAATAAATGCGTAATTTTAAACAAGAAAGTAATAGTTTTTTTGGGATGTATAGGATTTTATGAGAGCTATGAGGATATCAAATCCCTCAATGAGAGCGATAGCGGACGCGATGGAGAGAGATGAAGTACTGCGTTGGAGTAATTCCTTGCAAAGGGCGAGGGTAACGCGATGGGGTGGAATGATCTCTACACCAGATGAAATTTTACAGGTAAGAATATTGATATGCTGCCTTACGATTTTTTATACACAAAAAAACATGAAATATCTGTACATAATTGTTATTTATGCATTTAGAGTGTAATGATTGTACTCCCAAAATAAGCACAATATTTTTTTTCGTCTGTAATATGTTGTAACTACTAGAATGACTTCTGTTATTGAGACTAAAAGGGCTTCTACATCACAACCTGTTTCACAAAATTTGCTTGCAGAGGGAAATTCTCCTTTGAAATGATCATATAATTAATTATAAGTAATGAAAAGTATCAAAATTATATAACTAGGTAACTTAAATAATCTGTAGGTGTGATGACCCTCTGAGTTCAGGCCCCCTTCTACAATTATTCGTTCATTTGTTTTTACGGAGTAACTCTTAGCTTTACGAAATTCTTTTATAATGTTATGAATGAATGAAATGCCGATAACATGTAAATACCTGAAATCAAGTGGCATGCGGTCCCAAGCAAGTAATTCAAGGAAATAAAGGCTATTTAATGTAACTCTTGTTTTTATTATTACGTCACAGTCAAAACTATACTTAAAAAAAACATCGACAGGCAAAAAGCTTTTGTATCATAACAAATGTTCGGGTTCTGCGATTAAAAAGATTTTTTTAATAGTTAATTTATCTCTATTGTATTTTTTAATCAGAATTACTTGTTTTAAATGGTATTTTACACATTTCAGTTGTTTTCTATTCATTATAATAATGAACGATTTGACTAAAAATTTCAGAGAATGATCAAAAGGACTTTAACAGAAATGGGTTGTCCGCCTCATATCCTCGACGACCTTATGGAAAATTGCCACGAAAGGAGGTGGCCCCCCGGACTCTGCTCGCTGGAGACGAGACAGAACAATCGAAGACAGTATGAGAACTACATATGTAAAAGGGTACCGGGCAAACAAGCAGTGATGGTACTCTCTTGTGATAACGTACATATGGGTGAAGACATGATGGTGGAGCCAGGTTTGGTCATGATTTTCGCCCACGGCATCGAATGAATTCAGTTTTTTTTTTAATCTGGAAATTTTTCGTTCGGTTTACTAGCAGTGTAATGTAAATGATTTAGTCAAGCAAAAGTATTTGAAAGATTAAAATTAATTAGTGTTATTTAATTTCGTTAAAATATTTCATATTCATTACTCTGCTACAAATTACATTCCTTTGAATGTTTTGTTACAAAATTGCGGCATTTAATACAAATAGAATTACTTGTATAACGACTGATTCTCAATATAAGCAACTTTATTTTTTGTCAGCTTTCATTTGATTTACACATATTTTTATTGTTAGTACTGATTCATCTTATCGATAATGTTAACTAGGAAGAGTTTAAGGTACAGTTCAAAACTTAATAGATTTAATTAATCAAGTAATAGTGTGATTTTAAATAATATTTCCCCTTCTAAATTTATACTAAAAACAACAGGAAATGATTGCAAGTACGGTTGACTTTACAGACATACAGATTAATAAAAAAAATGTTCGTACTATTAGAAAGTAAGAAAGTTATTGTAGCTGTGATGAGTCTTTTAAGGAAAAGTAATTTTTGGACATTTTTGACGAACAAGTCCTTGACAAATTCGGACAAGTAGTAAAATGTAGTTGACATTGAAAAAACTTGATATAAAGGCACATAAAAAGTTGTAAAGTAGACAAGAGTGTCTTTATATTTTGTTGGATTCAATTAAAAAAGGAATTTTTTTGTTTTTATCTGTGGTATAAAAACTTTATTGAGTCCATATTTAGTTTATATTTTTATTTTCTTATGGTGTTGACTAGTTTATGTCCAATTGAGTTTAAAATTGGTATATTAAATATTATTTAATAAAAAATATTGTATTTGTAGAGGAATCTATGAAAACGTTAAATGTGTGATACTTTTAAAAACTTTACAGTAATACATAAAAAAAAGGTTTTGGGGGCTATTTTATTTATAAAAATATAATAATATATGAACAAGGAAAATAATCCCAAACTCAAATGTAACCAAGACGAAAAATAAAGCCATGTATCACAAAATGTACAAGCGACCGTTTCTCTCCGGAAAATACCTACTTCTATGGCTAATATCACAATAGGCATTGGATTTTATCTAAAGAAAAACAACAGAAAAACGTCATTATTGGATCGGCTTTACTCTTATTAGGACTCATAAGTAAGAAATAGACATTCTCGATTCCAGTCTCTAATGGAATCTGCAGATGCATTAAATTCACTCACATACATAGATGGAGGTTGAGTGATAATAAAAACTCATAAAGTATCGCCATTGCACTTAGTAAGCAAAATCAAAGCAGTACCCAGTTAAAAAGTGGACTGGTCCTTCCATGTATGTTAGTGAATGTATCTGCAGATACTATTAGATATTGGAATCGAGAATGTCTCTTTCTTGCTGACGAGTCCTAATAAAGACGAAACCAGTCCGCGAATGACGTTTTCCTTAGTAAGCAAGTAGAGTTGGATATAATTCAATGCCTGTTGCGATATTATCTAAAGGACTAGTTTATTTGAGGGAAACTGTTGCTCATATTTTTGTGACAGGTGGTTATGATAATTTCAAATATCCATTTATTTAATAATATATAAAATAAACTTTTTAAATAATTAGGGTTAAGTGAGGTAATAATGAAACAAACGTTTTATCCAATTAACATTTTTTGTTTTATAATGGTAATTGTTACGTTTCTATTACCTTTTCTATAAAACTCAAAAGCCTATCAATTATATAAACTCTATTCGCTTTATTAACACCAAGAAAAATTATAATAAAATTGTACATATATTATAATGAAAAAAATATAATAGAAAAACACACAAAATTTGAGGAACGCTAAATTAGTGGTTCCCACCTTATCTGGACTGAGCCCCCTCGGTCAAATTGGTAGCATAAATGAAACGTTACTTAGATTAAACCACGAAGAAATTCTTCACATTGTTGACTCTGGTTTTTAAGAACTATTCCATGTCACCTTTTGATTCTAGTTTGGAACTTCACAAACAATTGATGTAAAAATATTTAGACTGTTTGTCCCTTAAAAATATTTGGTTCTTTTATTCTTTATGCCTGCACATGTAAAAATATTTGGTCCCTTTACCTTTGTTCTAAACAGGGTCGACTGGAAAGAATGTATGTGTTGCTATGGAGACAGCTTCTTTGATGCACTATCCCGAAATTATATTGCTGCAGTCTTTCTATCTATCTAGCAACTTGTCATTCAGGTTTTTTAAAATTTATCAGTCACAGCAAGGCGCTATGGTCCCTTATAATGATAGAATTTCTATTAAAAAAGGTAAGTATGGAAGTATTCAAGGGATTTAACAATAGCCAAAAGTTCTTTCTAGTGACGCAATAATTCTCGGCTTTTCCTAAGGTTTTACTAAAATACACAATTACTTTCTCATAAAAAATGGATAGTAAAAAAGTTGCAGGGTGTTAAAGTATGAGTAGAGTCTTGTAGTTATTTTCTAGTATAATATCTAAGCTCAGATGATTACTTATGTAACGTTTACTACCTTTTGTAGGCATACAAAATGTGTAACAAAAATGAATAGCATTTCCACCTTTTAAATTGTTTCTACTAAAAGTACTTCGTCTTGTTAAACTCTTATGTCATTTAATAATAATAATAAATAGTCTTTATTCATCATAGTTACACATTTACAATAACAGAAAAAGAAGGAAAAGTTCAGCACAAGGCTGTTTTTCAACTTAACCTGCAGCGCAAATGAATTATTCTATTCTATACATAAAATGAATATCTGTATTGATGAAAACAGCTTAAATTATATTTAAAAGAGAATTATTTTCCAATAGAATAAACCTATTTCATGACAGTTTGTTTTCGTTTTATAATGCAGTTTGATTAGCTAAAAGGTTTTCATTGAGACGTTTCTTAAAATTAAGAATAGTGTAGGATGATCTATATTCCGCCGTTATATCATATTTTTTACTAGCAACGTACGAGAATGATCTTTTGAATAATATGGTACTATAGTGGGTATTACTAATGTAAGTTCTGTTTCTAGTGGGATAGTTATTAATATTGGAAAAAGTCGTTAATTTTGTGAAAAGGTATTCCGGTTTTCGTAATTTTAAAACTGTGAACTAATACCAGCAAGTGTAACTACCGGTAATTAGACAATGTTAGACATTACTTTTTCATCTTAGATCAACAATAACTAGACTCGAACTTGTAAAGAAAACCATTGCTTAGAAACTAAATGGGTTTATAACAATAGAAATTTTAGAAGCTATTTTTTCTTACTCTAAAACTGTTTAAAATATTTTTATGAAAATGTACCTGGGATGTTAGTATACAGTGACCAATAAAATGAAGTTAGTGACGTTTCAAATTGTTTGAATTCGATAGGTTTTTAGGGTTCCGCACCCCTTTTACCAACCTTCTTATTTAGACAATGGAATACAGTTAAAAGCAGGGCGCTACTAAAATTCTACGTCTGATTTGAAATTTTTGTGCCTCTTAGTATTTGTTTGTGAAAGCCTTAATTACTGAGTTATCGGCCCTTGAAGGAAAATCATACTGAAAAATACTGAATATTTTTTTTTAAATATTTTACACTTTGATAGATGGTCGATAATACATGGGAATAATTTTAAATGAAATTGTAAAAGAAAAAAAAAATTGAACAAATATTCCTTCAATGGCATATAACTCTGTAATTCAGGCTTTCACAAACAAATACTAAGAGGCAAAACAATTTCAAAACAGATGTAGGATTTGAGTAGGGTCCTGCTTTTAACTGAATTCCATTGTCAAAATAAGAAGGAGGCGGTAAAGGGGGTGCGGAACCCTTCTAAAAATCAATAGAATTGTGACAACTTTAAATGTCACTAACTTTATTTTAGAGTAAGAGCAAAAAATTAATTCTAACATTTTATTTTCGACCGATTTAGGTGCCCCAATATGTTTTTTGGACTAGTGACGATGGGGTTATGTGGAAAAATCGGTTAAAATCTCGATTTTCCTTATAAGATTACGCCGTTATTTCAACCCTTTAGCTACTTGCAACATTAAAGCCTTTGGTTTTCCGAAGCCTAATTCTATTAGTTAATCATTTAGTGACTACGGCTTGCGTGAAAATATGGGCAACAAAAAATAACCTTTAATTTTTGTTAGAGATAATCGAATTTTCCATGTTTTCCCCAGGAGCCCCTCGCAAATTTCCTTTCATTCTACTTAAAATCGATGTACTTTTCAACCCTCTTTGAGCCTTTCATGCGAAAATGGTGCATCTAAACCTGTCACTATCTGACGGTCTAATAGGTCAATGAATAAAATCAATTTATATTTTCAAGTAATTGGAAGTAATCTTGGCAACGCCGGTGGCTATTAGGAATGAATTCGTATTAATAAATTTTGAGGTTAGATGTAGTAAATATCGTAGTATTTCGTATATCCACACCGAAGTTAAAATCATAATTTATCATTAAAAAAAAAACAGTAAATTTTACCAAATTTATTATGTCTGTAAAGTCTACCGTAACCTGATTGCTTCTTTAAATGTAATGCAAAGCGGCTGTACAGATGTACCATAATTAAATATAATTTACTTTCGAATCCAAACAGTTATAGTTTTGGACAAATTGACCTATCAAAGTGTGATTGATTCTGGTAAAACCAGAACATTTATTTTCATATTTTATGGTGCATTGAATACTTTCTTTATTTATAGTTGATACGCGAAACCAGTTAAAAAAAGATACGAATGTCCTGCACCGGTTTTGTGATAAATTGAAGACTTACATTTTATTTTTTTTTTTGGTTAAAATTGGCTGAGAAAAGAAAAACCTTAAGTGCACAGTTTTCTTAATGTTTTAAAGACAATTTACTAGAATGACTTGTTTTGTTAGAGCTCTTAAGTGGTAATAAAAATTAATAAAAATGCTTTTTATTAATGTCCACTTAAATATTTTTCAAAAAAAGAACAATATAAAATGCTAC